GGAATGTCTGCAAACGGTTACTTCAGAGGAAAACCCGAGACATTTCACAGATTCTTGTTTCATCAAGACTTTGATGAATTTAATGAATGACATGGAGTGGCAACCAATCCAAATAAGCTTGAGCATTTCCAGCAAATTGTTGTATTAAGACATGATGAAATTAGACCCGAAATGCATTGCAAAATGGACTTAATGTAGCTTCAGAAAACGCACCAAAGTTGAAAAACATGCATAACACAAGTAGATTTAATGCCAATGTAGGTCAGAGAGACTTACGAAAAATGACATACAGCAAACTTATGAATATTGAAGTGACTTTAATGACTTCAGCGAGGAAGAATGTTTCTCCAGTGCGCGGCAAAGGATGGCAATATAAAACTAACACAATTAATTGTCTTCTCCACGGAGGAGAGAATTTCATCTCAGCGACTAAAGAGAGGGGGTGGCATAAGAATGAATTACATCCTCCTCTGCGCTTTTCCACCCGGCGGAAAACTCAACACATTCGCAAGCTTGGGAGTTGAATTTTTATTGCTAAAATATTGCACTGGAACAATGTTGAAGAAAAGTTTGAAATATTTTCAACACACAACAGGAAAGTCGGTCCGAAATCATTTAATGTTATTCGTTGCAAGTGCCATTCCGGCCTGGCGAAATGGCAAGATTTATTCACTTCGCCTTATTTATGGCTTGTAATTTAATTTATGATATTTTTCTTAACTGGCTTTCTGGGGCTTACACAAATTGCTTGGAAGCACACTTTTCCCTCATCGCGATTCTTGTTTGCAATTTTTGAGGCGCGCTCGCGATATTCTCGTGGAGCGGAAGTGACAGAAGACAGCCAAGAATCCACAGGACTTCCTGCATGTTGGGTCTGTGCGGTAATTGTGATGGAGGTGTTGGGAATTTCCAGAAAAGCCAACGACACAGAGATATGCCAAAGCATCATGTTTAATTCAGAGGGTGTTTGAGAAATCTATTAAATTTAATATCTCTCAGCATCGACACGTCTGACGTTGAAAGCGATTCTCGCAGAGAAAAATCGCATCATCGCCGTCATGAATAGTTGAGGAGGCGCCCACAGGGTGGCGAGGAATAACCCCCTGAGATCTGCTCGCGACATAGTGTCAATCAATCAGCCGCCCCTCGAAGAGCTCTTAACATTTTCAATCGCGATTACCATCCAATTTTCAGCCAACCATCATTGCCATCAGGAAGGAAATTTAATTAAGTGAGAAGGACACTGACTGGCATTGTTCTTGAGCCTCGCCATTTCCGATGAAAGCACACGGCGCCACGGGGAGTCTGTGCCCCAAATTCGCCCCCTTTTCGCCATGGTCGATCATTTTTCTCCCGTCAAATCAATTGTTACTCCCGTGGTTGGGCAAAATTGCCCACATAACCGGTGATAAATTGCACACAGTCTTGGAAATTCCATTGCATTCCTGTGGGAAAATTGCTTAGTATCTCACTGTGATCAATTTGTGATAAGAGTCTCATCCTCATGCCAGAATATCTTCCAATCTCAGTGCAATTCGTTTCAGGTCATTTAAATTTTCCGATATGGCTGAAGGGTTTGAGCGCCAAATCGCTTACGAAATTGTCAACTTATTTCCGTCCGCCCATTTGAACAATTGTTGCCAAAACATAAATTTGCCTCTCCAACTGGGGAGAGAATCAATTCCCTTTAGTCTGATGCCGTGCGAAAGAGCCACGATAAATTCGACTCCAATTTTCCAGCCCCCAAAACGTGAAATATTGTGCAATATTCAAATGGAAATTCAACCATTGACGTGGCTTTTCATTAAGTATGTCGCCATCTTTCACGTTCCTTCCTTTACCACTTCTTCCTTTTTTGCCTTTCCGAAAAGGAGTGATTTACTGGATTCTTAGGCGATGTACACAGTTTTTCCCGTGAATTGATTCTCCGCTCCTGCAATTTTAATTAACATAAATTTGGAGACAAAAAAATATAGCAAAACAGCCAGAATTCTCCTTAGTAAATTACTGTCCTTTGAGTAGAGTGGAAAAACTTCATGCGATGATTATGCGCTGCCCATTTTGTGAATTTTCAGAGTGATAATACGTTGTGAAAGCTGAGATATAATGCTGGAAAAAAGCTCTTTGCGAGGAAGAGGAAAAAACTTTCTCATTTTCATGATTTCCTCCTGCAATTGAAATCCCTAAAGTTTCACTGGTAATCTGGCGTCCTGAATGCATCTCATTGCATCAACTTTATATGGCTTCCATTCTTTCAGCCAGTGCAATTGCGATAAGGGAGATTAGTTGCAAAATATCTCAAAATGCCCTCGCTCGATGGCAATCCGCGTGATTTACTACATTCGCGCGGGGTGTCGAAAAGAGCGGCCAAGTGATAAAGATCTCGTGGCAACTTTTAATTAAATCATCTAATTGAATGGCCGAGTCAACAATGCAAGCGAGATGGAAAATCCTTATCTCACCCACTGACCATGTGCATTGTTGCCCGCGCTCTGATTTATTCACGATGACGCTGAGTTCTTGGTCGCGCGGTGTCCAGAGCTTCTGCGGTCAGCGATGTGCCCAGTGCACTCTGCACATGTCACATGCCGGCTGTTCGGCATCATCTTTGCCCAGGACGGTGATTTTGGGAGCACCGCTGACACGGTGGAAATTATTCAGACCCTTCTTGCCGATTGCCATGTCCATTTGCACAGCACACAAGCGGCGAAATCATCTGGCACGAACCGCAGTGTTTCTTGTCCAAAAGCGGTCGCTGATGCACTCGATCAATTATTACTCACCATTTCACATGGTTAACCCATGAGTTCAGCGAGAACAGTGACACATCAGTCAAAGTATCAATTTTTACAGCGCTTCTCACTTATTCAAGTGAAATGAAATATTCATGTCGAGTTTCTAAGTTCACTTACCCAATTTAATTATGATTGAATTGTAGTAATAACTGATAATTCAAGTTAATGAAATTATGTAAATCCATATAAAAATATATTTATTGAAATTCACTGAAGATTCTTTTTATGCTTAAACTTTCTACACTTGAACTTCTAACTCTACGCATTGCTTTAGAACTTATCGAAACAAATACCTGCAATAATTGTTACAGCGTAAACATTTATTATAGTCTATTCTATAGAATTATATTCGTGCCATGCACTTCCTCATTTAGGGTTTTCCCGCGCAGCTGAGGGCAAAAGCTGCCAAAAGCTCCCGACGCGAGGTGATTAGGTGAGGCAAGTACGGTTGATTGATGAAATGGCTCACTAAAAGCGGAGGAAGAGGACTTTTTGCGCCAAAATATGTGAATACATCAACAGTCCTTGGCTGAGGGAAAGCCACCCACTGCGGCTTTCCACGCGCATGAGGTCGTCATCAATAACCAATTTTGACGATGGACTCACTACGATAAACTATAATTAATTACACAATTGTGACATCATTGTGAAGAGATAAATCTAATTAATTCCCAACTTAATCAATTTATTCCTATTCACACCTCATTAATATTCGGTGAGCACAGCATCTCCAGAATATATAATTAACACCCCAACATAGTCCTTGTCGTCTCTATTTTGTGTCACACCAGGATCACTCATGGCTTCACAATTTGCAGCCCACTTTGGCGAATTATTCATTTGACTGCGTGTGTGGCTCTTCAAGAATTTACCATAGGGTTCAATGACTCGGCCTTGTGCGGGAAAATTGATGCTGAAAGCAGAGACAAAGGCACGATCAAGTGGCAAATAGTTACCGTAAATACACTGCACATCATCATTTGCACAATTTCTCTATATAATCCTGCGAACTTTCGTCATTACTATCAAATCACATCAACTCAATTGATTTCGGAGAATTTTGGTATTGGCATTTTAACCATTATTTAATTCTCATTAAGTGATCAAAGTTGAACGCAAAATTGTTGAGCCTTTTCCACTATTTTCCTCAAATATTGACAAAATTATTCAAATTCCAGCCACAATTTTGACACGATATCCAGAGTGTAATTGAAGTGGAAAGCGTGGCACGTTTTAGTGGCTCCAGGCAAAGGACATTATTTAACAGGCTGCATATTATTCACATTAAACATCATCGATTGACTCCGCAGGGCGGGAATTTTCAGCATGGCAATTTAATTAGTGCAGAGTGTAACGCGATGCAGATAATTGAAAATATTTTGATACACACAACATACCTATTCCTGACGATTTGCAATTTATACCAAAAATTCTCTCTACTTCGTGGCATTTATCAGATAAATTCGAAAAAGGGAAAAGTCTTTTCGTGCAGACGACAAATTCGCCTGCATTGGTGAGTTGGGGTGAAGGAAGTGGAGTTCTGGCAGCGGAAACAATTACTATGTTTCTTCAAACGGACGTTGGATGCATGACGAGGCGAAGGGGGAGATTTCTGCATATTGTGGGTTCTTTCAATCACTCACCCACTCTCCAGAACGCAGTCTCTTGTTGGGAGCTGCTGAAGAAAGAATTCCTTGGCACTATCGAGCTTTCTTCCTTCCTCCCTTCATTCCGCGTCACTTTGCAGAGGAAGCACAAACGGAGCGAACAGAAAATTGGCACTTTGCGCTATTTCCAGGCCATTTTCAGCGGGTTTTTTTGCGCTAGCAACAAAACATTTGTGCTTCAGCAATTTAAATTAATTTCTCGTGGTATTTCCCATCAAGATGTCCCGCAGAGTGAAAATTTTGCTGGCATTTTTAGGATAATTGTGGAAAATTTGCGGATGCAGCGTCAATAAAATAACCACCATGACCATAATTGGTTTGTTCAAGCAGTGTTCAAGCTATACAAAACAACCCTCAGGTGAACTGACCGTTGAAGGAAAATATCTTAAGAACCGCTGAGAAATTATAGATTCAACTGGAAAGAACATAAACAAGCACCCGCACTTCAGTGGAGTGTGGAAAAAAAAGCTCTTCTGGCAGGGCATATCAATTTTCAATTTTTCCACCATTGCCTGAAGCCAGACGAACATTTGTTGCATCGCTTAATTAATTTTATTCAGCAAATTTAAAAACAATTCTCCGCATCGCGCAGGATGCAACAGCCAGAGAGAGAGTTACTTGATCACCAGCACTTCGTACTCCGTCACGCTGACCTCCTCGCCGTCGAAGGGGATGTACAGGCATCCGTGGCTGGCCTGTAACTTCCCGGGCGTCTGGGTGCCATTGTAGATGCACCTGCCCATGTACAACTTCTCCCCGTCGACTGTCTGGCCGACTTCCACGGCTCCTTCCGGCACTTCACCGTTCATGGCGAACTCCCAGACGAAGTCTCCCGTCCGCAACACCTCATACTCCTCCTTGGGGTGCTCCTCTCCTCCGTAAGCAACATAGGCGATGCTCTTGTCCGGAATGACCTTAGCTGGGATCATATCGCCCTCGTGGAACGCCCTGCCGACGAAGATGGGACTGCCGTCGGCATCACGACCAGCCCTGACCGCAGTTTCGACGGGGAAAGAAGCTCCGGCTGCAATGAACTGCCAACAGTAACCTGGCAAAGAGAATCATCTTTAATACAGCTGGCCGAAGAAACACAGAGTTAGTTCACTTCAATTTGAGACACACAAATGAGTCAGAGATAAAGTCGTCTTATCTTGTAGGAAGAAATTTGCAGAAGCTATTTTTAGATGAGATAAAATGTTAGTTTCATCAATCTGATTGCATTTCATTATGTTTTCCACAGTTAAAGCGGTTTTCATGTATAATTGTTGAAAATTGATTTCAACACATAAAATCAATATTTTCAGAATCTCAGAAGTAATTTGCCATCTTCATTAAAATAAAAAGTAATAAAGCATCTTAAAAGATTAATGAGGGGAGAAAATGAAGAGTTCCGTCGATTATAAAAGCTCAATATCGCATCGGAAGACTTAAATCGCCCTCCTTTTGCATCGTTAATATAATGAGAATGACTAATTATCGCGCAAAGCCGTTAAGTTGACCGGCGAACATGCATATGAGGATTAGTATGTAGCTGCTCAAATGGACGACGTGGGGAATTTCCGCCATCGGCCACTGACTTTCCGCCCGGAGGAATGAGTGTTTCTGTGGTTTGGTTAGTGTGGCGAACGAAGAGTCGCTGAATCTTACCGGCGACATCAAAGCTTATCGGTTTTAGTCTTCGATCCATCCACGAATCCGCCGTTCTGAGTTCTTCCTCCGAGGATGAGCTTGAGTCTTGAGGCCAAGTTTGATGTTCCGGCGCGGGCGGAAAGGATGGCATTGGCATGACGGGCATGGTGTACGAGAGTGAGGCCAAAGGAGGTCCCGAAGGCGCCCCCGGAGCCATGAATTCAGGCCGAAATCCAATCGGTGGCGGACTATCTGCAAAGCGACGTTATGCAACTCGCGATACCTTATCACATCCGACAGCAAATGCATGGATTTTCACCTTTCTACCAGCCCAAAAAGCCACTTGCTCAGGCGAACACGCAAAAAGGGGGCCAATTGTGAAATTGAGAGTGATCTTAGTGCTCTTACCTGGCATGTTTGCTTAATTGTTGCGCGACCAGCACTTGAGAATATCACCAGCAGACTAAATTTTGCACCGCGCGCCAATTATGGAGTGGGTGAAAATGACTGATAAAGGCGCTCAGTGTTTTGCATGTAAATACACAGACACATGCGAATGATATCAGAGATATGATTAAGTTCTTCACTGTTTAATCCAAGAGCATTTAGAGTAAAGACAGACATTGAGGCCTAGAAGTGAACTCATCTCTGTGAAAATTCCGCGGAATTTTCAATTACTCAGTTGGAATTGAGGGCCGCGAGGAAGCTTTTGTAGAACTCATCTGAATAGAAACAATCACTCAACAATGTCCTTTACATTTCCTTTATAATAGTTTATTGAGAGACTTTTGGGCACATTACATCTAATACACTTCTCAAATGGAACCAGTTCGCCTCTTCGGTTCACACCTTATCAATAAATTCCAATAAAAATCACTAAAATCAATTTCCAGCCGTGATTTCATGCGTCAGATAAGATAGTTTGCCTTAGAACTTGAACTCCTTGTATTTCTTCGTCTGCTTGCTGCTCGTGTCCACTTGCTGGCGCTTCCGCTTGGACTTCTGCCTGGCCACGTGCTCCGCCAGCATGTCCGAGAGATCCTCCTTCTGCAGGTGGCTCTGCTGCTCGCGCATCTGCTGCTCGTAGCGCTGCGCCATGGCCTCGTTGTCCATATCCAGCTCAGATGGATCCAGCGCCAGCTCCACCATGCCTTCGCGCTCGCCGATCGGCGGGAACCTGGGCGGCGGGGGCGCCTTCATGTGCCCCGCGACGTCATACACGTGCGTGGAGGCCATCATGGCGTTCCCGATGCGCTCGTTGCGCTTCTCCGGCAACACATGGTACAGCACGGGCGTCTCGTTGTCCTCCATCTCGCTCTCTATCTTCTTCTTGCGCAGCTCAATCGTGTCCGGCGTCTCCATGCCCGCCGGCACACTGGTCAAGCCTGACGGCGTCACCAAGCCCTCAGCCGGTGTCACAAGGCCGCTCTCGTCGGGTGCATTGCCCAGGTCCTCGCCTTCTTCCTCCTCCTCCTCGCTGGACTCCTCAGATTCCGACTCCAACTCGCCCCACATCTGCCTGTCAATCTCCCCATCATCAACTCCACTGTCCTGATCCAGGGCGTTCGTGCCGAACACATCTCCGTACAGAGGCTTTCCTTTCTCATCCACCGGCGGCTTTCCCCATCCGCCGGCGTGATAACCGAACGATGTGCCGTCCGGAATGGGCGCATTCAGCCCGGGAATCTTCAGATTGGGATAACTCGGCGGCGGACCGTATCGCTGCTGCGCAATCAGCCACGGAGGCGGAATCTTGTGGCAGTTCGGCCCGATCGGCATGCCCAGAGCCGTTCTCAGCTCCTCCGACAAGTCTCCGGGTTTTTTCTCCTTCAGTCTCGTCTCGAATTCCTTGCCCTCGTAGTATAGATCCCCATGAATGGTCATCCTGGGCTTTGTCTGCCACTTGAAGAACGCATCGTGCAGCTTCTGGTAATCAATGTCAATCTTCCCCATCTTCGGTCGGGCGCGCTCTCTCATCTTAGCCTTCAGCGTTTTCGCCTCATCCTTCTCCTGCAGCGACGCCCTCATCTCCATGATGCCAGTCTTCTTGATAAACGCCGGCAGATCAAAGGGTGGCTTTTCGATGCCGCGCTTCCCCTGCAGATACTTCCTCTTGAAGCACCAGTGACGCGGCACCTGAACTGTGTTGCGATGCGCCTTCAGCTGCACCAGAAGCTTCGGGTCACGCGCTGTGACATCGTGCATCTCCACAACATCTGGGCGACTCACGAGCTGCTTCAGCTCAGCCACACTGAGGCGAGTCAATTTCTTGAGTTTCCTCTTCGACATTCTCTCTTTGTCTTCCGCTTTGTCGCCATCAAACTCCTCCTCGTCCTCGTCCATGTCATCCGTGATTAGCTTTTGCTTCTCCTTAGCCAGCTTCTCAGCCGCCAGTTGGTCGGCCAATTGTTGCTCATTCGGCCGCTTCTCTTCGATTTTAAACATCTCAAAGACGCGGTAAAACTGCCGATACATTGGCGCCAAGTCAGCTATTGTGATCTTCTCCGGTACATACTCAATCTGGACATCCTCCTCAACCTCATCTCCTGCAATGCACGCAAAAAGACAGTTATTATCAATTATTATCGCCTAATTTCTTCAAAATGTTACCTTTAGGCGTCTCTTTCGGCCCGTTTTCCTCTTTCTTTCCATCCTCGTCCTTCTTCGTTTCGGCTTCACGTTGTGCTGCCATTCGCTGCTGCCTGTTCTGCTTCTTGCGCTTCTTCTTCCGCCTATTCTTGTCCACTTTTCCCTCCCCTTTACCCGCTTGCGGCTCTGGCGCCGTCACCATATCCACCTCATCGTCAGAATCCACATCTGCATCCGCGTAGTCCGTGCTGATCACGCCCGTGGACATCTGAGGCTGCGTCGCCTTCATGATATCCTCCGCTTGACTGCCCAGTTCCATCGCGCGCTGATCCTTCAGCGCCAGCACTTCTTCCAGTGCCTTCGGCAGCACGACTTCGGCCGGCTTCTTGGCCTTCACCTCGTCCGGTTTGTCCAGTACCAGCGACATCAGCGAGGGGATCTTCTCGTCGCTCTCATTTCCGGAATCCTGCTGACTCCAAGTCCCCGGCGGCCCTCCGGGAACCGCGGGCGGCGGCACTGGCATTGTTCCCGGCGGCGGAAGCTGCCCCATCGCAATTCCCGGCGGAGGGACGCTCATCATTTGCCTCTGCATCTCTGCTTCGTGCTCCGCCATGGATTCGAAGGCATTTTGCTGCAATTGCTGAAAAAAACATCCGCATATAACCTCAATTTCTTCCAAAACTATTCTTATACGATATACGCGGTTTTACTGCAAAACTCCTTTTGGATACTCACCTCAGAATCGCTATCAGACATTTTCCACTATATTCACGACTGAATTACGGCGATTTCCTGGTGAAAAAAGAGAAAATCCGCACTGTTTACATACGTTCAGGAAAGTTTATCTGACGTTTTGAGACTACTGAAAACACTGTTAGCTGAGATGTGAAACACAAATGAAACACACGTTTAGACAAAAAACGCAGCATAGAAACTCTTCTCAAGGAAGATACGATGTTTTACTGAAAGTGGTGATTTCCCGACATTTGCACTAAAAGAGAACAATTTATGTCTGCTATGCTATTCGCTTATCCAATTAATTATGCAGGAAAGTCATGAAAAATCTTCGGTGGCACGCTGAAACACGCCGTTGAAATTCCACTCGCAGATTGCAGCGCTATTTTGGTGAGTAGACAAATTATGCAACGAATGCTTACGTCAAAATATGTAAGCAGAACGTGGTTTTTCAAGCTCCGAAATAATATCAATTTCTTTACAAATATCCTTCTTATTTGCTTATACCATACATTTAATTACTCAAGAAAGTTGTCTAGTATCTTTTTAACATGTGTTTTTAGAAGTGCCATTGAAAGTTGTGTGTTTAATTCGATTGCCCATTTCCAGAGTATTTCGAGGGTTTCAAGAATGAGTGATTCTGATGATAATTGGTTTGATAAGGATATTGAAGAATTTCAAGTTCCAATAAAGAAAAAGACTGTTGATTTAACTGCAGAACAATTGGAAGAAGTTAAAATTGGAGAAGATGAAAATCCCAAGTCCTCAGGAAGTGCCTTTGGCCTGCCAGAAGGTAATTTTTCAAGAAATTGATAACTAATAAAAAATCATAATTTTTTGCACACTATTTTATATAGATTATGGAGGAAGTTACAACATAAAAGTGCCTTCGAAACTCCCTATGAGAAATACGGATAACAACTCAAAGAAAACCCGAGGAAAAAACAGTGCTTCTCAGGGAGAAATCCAGAAAATGTCGAAGAAAGAATTGCTGGAGATCAGTAAAAAGAATCCTCTAGACGTGTTCTTGGAAATCATGGGAAAGGCGCTAAACTTTAAGGAATTAGCATTAGAAAAGCAGAAATCCCACGAAACAATCATTCTCTTGATCGTCGTCTTGGGAAAACTTCACCAAGTTCCGCTGAATCACAATTTGGAACACTTCATGGCTCAGATCTTGATGCCCGATGATGTTCTGCAGGAAGATTTGCTATCCTACGTGAAATATGCTGTGGATCTCGAGGAGAAGAAAACAGCAAACTTGCTGCCCTTTTCTGATCTAGTTTGGACAAATTTGGAGTCACTTTGCGGCTTTGGGATGAGATTCAATGGACAATTCAATCGTTGGGCTGTTTTGACCCTTGCAATCTGTGAAATCCTCGAAGGGAAAAGGAGAGAATCTTTAGTGGAGAAACACTCGAGGTTTTCAAAATTGTCGAATGATATCACGACGAATTACTTCTATTCGGAAACGATTTATGCCAGTCTCGACGATCTCAAGGATGTGCCAAGCAAGAGAAGTTGGAGAAAAAAACGAATTGCGGAAATGGTAAAGAACAGTGACTTCGCAGATGCTTCAGAATACTTGGCATTCCAGTTAACTCACTTAAAAAACACTTTTGTCTACAAATTGTTCGAGGGCGTGAAGAAATTCAATCAACAGAGAGGAGAAAAGCGACGAAGTATCGTTTTGGAGGATATTTCCGGGACGAATATCTTTCCTTTCGTACGCATTCGCAAGAGTTTCCCACAAATTATGTCCTTCAGCGACAAATACTTTCTCCTTGATTTGGCTCCGCACGTCAGAGTTGATCATCGACTGCCTGAGAATGTTAGGGAAGAAGTGACGAAGCGAGACTTTCAATTCATTCCCGGATCTCTGCTCTTCCTCTCTACATCACCCTTGTTTGAGGACTTAATTGTGGCGGAAATTCCCTTCCTTCCGGTCGAAGTGCAGCGCGAAGGCTTCCTGATCGTTGACATTGTGCGACTGGAGAACATCAAGGGATGCATTTTAAACAGTAATCTCATTCTCGTGACGATTCCTTTCATGTTCGAGCCCGTGCTGCAGAACTTGAGAGCTCTGCAGAAGATCTCAACAGCGACGCTACCAATGAAAGAATACCTGGTGAATTGTAAAGCTGCGGCTGTTCTACCTGACTATGAAAATCTGGAAGAGTATGCATTTTCCTTGGAGAAAATCAATCTCAGGGCGGAAGAGCACAGGGAAGATGACTTGAAAATGTTGGGAATGAATGAGAGTCAATTTGAAGCCTTTCGAATGGCGTTGACGAGAAGATTGACGGTGATTCAAGGACCTCCAGGAACTGGAAAGACGACAGTCGCCCTGAATATCATTCAGCGCCTCCTGACCAACACTTCTCTCAGGATTCTTATCGTCAGCTACAGGAATTTCTCCCTAGACAAGTTGCTCATGAGATGTTCTACTCTCACGGACAAAATCGTCAGACTTGGATTGCAATTGGCAGATCCGGGAGTCAAGAAGTTCACGCTGGACAGGAGTATTGTTGATCCCAGACACTACGCGGTGCAGAAACAAAGTTTGGCTCTTTACAGTGAGGCGATGGAGAAATTTGTAGACACGATGAAGAACCTTGAAGTTGATGGCAAAACCGAGAAATGCACTCTTGATGAGGATTTCGAGCGACTTCGGCAAGCAACTCTGAGGGAAGCTGAGCTTGTGCATCTGCGGATGTACTACGGATGCAAAGACGCCCGAATTATTGGCATGACAACGTCAGGAGCAGCGAAATATCACACTCTTCTTGAGCTTCTTCGTCCATCAGTTGGTGAGAATCGTGGAAAAATTCACTGAAACACCATTAATTGCGTATTAACGGCTTCTTATTCCTTGCAGTGATCATTGAGGAAGCGGCTGAAGTACCTGAATCTCACGTTATCACTTCCTTAACGCAACACACACAGCAGTTGGTCCTGATCGGTGATCATATGCAGTTAACATACTCCCTTGACATCGACATGGGTAGGAATTGCACACCAAAATCCCTCTTCGAGCGTCTGGTACAGCATGGAGCGAACGACATCTGCCTCAATATCCAGTATCGAATGCATCCCGACGTGAGTCTCCAGTGCTGAATTGTTCATGAAAAGATTGTCAGTGATTTTGTGTACTTTGCAGATGGCCGATTTGCTGCGAAACACAATTTACCATGATTACTCGGACGGCGAGAATGTGAAGCAATACAAGGCAATTCGAGGAATTTCTAAGAATCTCTATTTTATTAGCCATGAAAACCTGGAGACGCTGGCTAGGGAGAGATACAAACTGCTGCAGCAAGAGTGTCCCATCAAGAAGAGCGAAGACACGTCGAAAGAGAATTTCTACGAAATGCTATTCACAGTCGGTCTGGCGAATTATCTCCGCCAGCAAGGCTACAAATCTGACGAGATTGTCATTCTGACAGCGTATTCTGGTCAGCAATTCGCCATTGGATCCATTCTGGTTAATTTCCCACTGCTGAAGGGCGTAGAAGTGCACACGGTGGACAGCTTCCAGGGTCAAGAAGCGCGCATTGTAATTCTGTCGCTCGTGCGGAGCAACGAGAAGTCAATGATTGGCTTCCTAACCAGCAAGAATCGCCTCTGCGTTCTGCTATCGCGGGCGCAAGAAGGTTTCTATATTGTGGGCAATATGGAGGCGCTGGTGAGAAGGAGCAATGATTGGGAGGATATTGCAATTAAATTGGAGGCCAAGGACGCTATTGGTCCCGGATTGCCCATAAAATGCGAGAAGCACGGAGGTGAAATGATCGCCACTGGATTGGAGGACTTTCTGAAGTTCACACGCGATGGATGTCCGATTGGCGAAAGCCTTCCCAAGACCAGAAAGCATCCTTGCATAAATCTTTAAATTATTCAAGTTTGGTTTTCATGTTCAAATCGTCTTCCACACTCATTTATACAAATATATGCATGTATTTCTCACAATTAAAAAAGTGCTATTTTATATACATATATAAGTATCTATTTTTATATGGCCTGAAGGTTTCTATTTCAATAATAACTGGAAGAGCTTTTCAAAACGGTACCAAAATTTATAATTGTAACATTGAACAAGTCAATCATTATTGTCTTGCTTCAAACTATGATTCCTGGGATCTCGGCCGAAATTCTCCGTAGATTCCTCCTTCTGGTTGTAGGACAGCAACCATGGATCTCTTAATTCTTAGTGGAATCTGCGTTTTCGCCGTTGGTACAACATGAAAGTGTAAAATCAAGTAATAAACGAAAGCTTTCAGCTGCATTAAAGCAAATCGTGAACCTGGAAAAGAGAGGAAATATGTATACTAATTTTATTCACAAAATATGCAATTATTTGAAAATTGAAAATATATAAAATTACTTTTAAAATCCCATAAATTTAAAACCCAGAACAAAAAGTGCATTTGACCCTTGGGGGGACCCTGATCGGAATTCTTTCCCTCCCTTTACAGCAGTATCGCGTGTTATACTGCATTTTCAAGAATTATTTACCAATGCAATTCCGAGGACCTGCTCCGAAAGGTACGTAAGTTGATGGATTAATTGATCCCTTGTTCTTATCGTTAAATCTTTCAGGATCGAATTTCTCCGGATCAGGAAAGTAGTCAGGATTATGATGATAGCCAACACTTGGAATCCAAATAACGTCGCCACTTTCGAATGTGTATTCCTTGTCCTTGTCATATTTCAGGGTGAAGTCTCGTGTGCAGGTACGATCGAAGACAGGACCTGTCCATAGTCGTAATGCCTCAGAAACTACCATGTCCAAATACTTTAAATGCAGAAGAGTGTCGTATTTTAATGGTTCTCCATTTAGCTTTCTGTGAACATTTAATATTTCCTTGAAGAGTTTCTCCTGAACTTCCTGGTGAATCATGATCTCGTACATAATGAAACCCGTTACCGACGAAATACCTTCGAATCCCGCCAGGAAAAAGAGAAAACATTGAGCAACAATTTCGTCATTTGTCAGTGACATCTTTGCGGATTTTGATAATCCAATTTCTGATTCCTCAACTGTGGCAAATCCTGCAGAGTCCTTTTCGGCTGTTGTGTGAGTCAGATTTCCCTTCTGAGCCTCCATCAGCAGATTTATCATGTCATGACGAACGATTTTCTTCTCTTCTCGAGTCTTAATGGTATTCATAACGAGATCACGCACAAAAGTCATGCTTCTAACGTCGAAAAAGGGAATCTTGAAGAACTTCATTATCTTAGGAAATAATCTCATGAATATGAATTTAAGTTGAATTGAAATACCAGAGAACGAGATTAGACCTCTTCCTGTTTTGTAGAAAGTATTCTCCGGATCTTCCATAGAGTCCACCTTTATTCCGAATGCACAAGTTCCAATAACGTCTGTGGTCAATCTCGAGAACAACTCCTTAAATTCATATGTCTGGAATCCTTTTAGTTTTGATTCCCTTTTCAAAAAATTCACCATTTGCTCACAAATCTCAACCATCAAATCGCACATGAGACGCATTTTGCTTCCTGTGAAAGCTGGACTCAAAGTCGATCTCATGTCCTTCCATTTTTGACCGCGAAGACTGAATAGGATGTTCCCAAAGAGTGGATCATCTTTTTCACTGAAAAACAACTCGCGATCTCCAAAGCTATCGAACTCTTTAATGGTGAGTTGCTTGGCGATTTCTGGGTCTAAAATTAGGACGATGGGCTTACGGAATTCAAAAACTCCTGCCAATCTAAAAGTAGAATCAACAAAATACATTTCATGATGGACATATACATAAACAAACCACACTACAAAAATGAGAAATATGTATAATTACTTCTCCTTTGAAAATTCCCTCGTTAAATCTCTTATATGTTCAAATACACTCGTTTGCTTTGTGATTATTCTCAGGTTGTTCCCGACAAGAAACACTGGCTTTCGATGTTTAATCCCTTTTTTCAGGAAGAAATCCTCATTCTTAGTTCCTGTTTGATAAATGTACACAATCACAGCGGCTAAAACCGTAAAGAGCAGAAATTCTAGCAACATCTTCACTCTTTTATCGCGTATCAGCTTAAAAGCTGTCTGTCCATTCAGACACTCTGAAGTACACTAAGCTGCGTCCAAATATTTTTGATTATGAACCCACACGCCTCATGTATTCTGTACAAAAGATAAAGCACACACAGAGGCAACAATTTGGAATCGACCTTGACTTTTTCGCGTTCATTCATTCATTTAAATAAAATTAGATGACGAAGAGTTTGCAAATTTATTCATCCAGAAATACTGCTGTACAGATGAGACTCAAATTGTCTCAATGGAATTATTTCATTAGCTGAATTATTTCGGCGATCTCGGACGGAATTGAACGTGAATTCCCCTCTCAGACTGTAAGCCCAAGAAGTTTTTAGCCATTTGGACTGGAATTTGAGTCTTTGCTGTTGGTTCCAGATGGAAGTTCAACACTGAATAGTAGACAATCGCCTTCAATTCCATCAGGGCGAAGCGAGAACCTGGAAATCAGCAAGAAAATCAGTTAAGCTCAATGAATTGATTTGTTAAGTGATATCTCTAATCATTCATTACCAATACAATTTCGAGGCCCAATTCCGAAAGGCGCAAAAGTGGAAGGATTAATTGAACCACTGTTTTCATCGCTAAATCGCTCAGGATCAAACTTCTCGGGGTCAGGAAAGTAGTCAGGATTGTGATGATAACTCACAATTGGGATCCAAAATGTTTCACCCTTTCGGAAAGTGTATTCTTTGCCATCGTCGTACTTCAGAGTGAAATCTTTCGTGCACACACGATCAAGGAACGGTCCAGTCCATTTCCTCAACCCTTCTGACACAACACCATCCAAATACTTCATTTGCTTGAGAGCATCATATTTTAGAGGCTTTCCTCCCAACTGTTTGTTCATGGCTGACACTTCATTGAATAACTTCTCCTGAACATCTGGATTAACCATTACTTCGTAGATGATAAAACTGGCAAACGTGGACATTCCCTCATATCCAGCCAGGAAGAATATGAAACACTGCGCAACAACTTCATCATCGGTCCATGACGATTTAGTCGAACTGACCAATCCAATGTCAGACTCTTCAACCGTCGCAAATCCTGCAGAGTCCTTTTCGGCTGTTGTGTGAGTCAAATTTCCCTTCTGAGCTTCCATCAAGAGGTTTATCATATCATGACGAACGATTTTCTTCTCTTCTCGGGTCTTGATTGTGTCCAAAACCAGGCTATTCATGAAAGTCCTGCTTTCCGGATCAAACATGGGAATTTTGAAGTACTTCATTACACTAGGAATCATTCTATAACCCATAAACTTAAGCTGCAATTTCAAACTACTGAAATTGATCAGCATCCTCGCAGTTTTGTAGAAATTATTATTTTTCTCTTTCAACGAATTCACTTTGACTCCAAATGCACAAGTGCCAATCACATCTGTTGTCAATCTTGAGAGTAATTCCTTCATTTCATACGTTTGAGGACCTTTTTCCTTAATCTCGCTCTTCAGAAAGTCCACCATTTGCTCACAAATCTCCACCATCAAGTCACACATGAGACGCATTTTGCTTCCTGTGAAAGCTGGACTCAAAGTCGATCTCATGTCCTTCCATTTCAAGCCTTTAAGATTGAAGAGAGAATTTGCGAGAAGAGGCTCAGCCTCTTGTTTGAAGAACTCAAAATGATCCGTAAAGTTATCAAAGTCCTTAATAGCGAGTTGCTTAGTGAGTTCTGGATCAAGAATAAGGACAACAGGTGTTCGAAAATCAAAAATTCCCATCAATCTGAAAGCACATTTCAGTATTAAGAAGAATTTCTTTTATACATTTCACGCATAGATTTAAACTTACTTTTCCTTCGGAAACAGTCGGGTTAAATTTATTATGTGATCATAGAAATTTATTTGCTTTGTGACCAATTTGAAGTTATTCCCAAGGAGAAATGAAGGTTTGGGGAATTTCAGTCCTCTTTCCAAGAAAAAATCTTCATTTCTCGTCCCGAGTTGATAAAGGTAAAAGACGGCCACTGCCACCAGAGATAACACCAGAAATGCAAATAGCATTGTCACTGTCTGATAAGACTGATACAAGTACTGTTGTGAAATACACTTTTAGCGTGAGAGATTAATTAATGAAGATGTTGTCGCGCGAGCGGTTTGAGGCGCACTAATGCCCAAAGCTTCCAGTCAAAACCTATAAATTGTCCCACTGGTGGTGTGTTCGACTATCGGTGTGTATTCTGCGCAGTGAATATAACACACATAGAACGTTTTTCAAAGAGAAACCTTGACTTTCGTGCGTTTGCGTGAATTAATACTTAATCACCCATTTGTTGATGTTCTTTTACATGTTTTTATTTTTATTCTCACTCAACAATTTTTTTTTGGAACCAAGTCTGGAATACTATTTGCAACAAGAATAAAATCAGGGTTTCTTAAGGCGTTTTTAATGAGAAAAAGATGTACAAAACACTATAAGTGATTTTATTTCGCAATGTGCATTAATATATTAAGGTGTCATATTGATGAATTGCTGCACTCGAAATGCAATAACATTGAAAACTTCATCTTCTCTCAATTAATGACGCACAAGGAAATATCTAATTACATCACGAAAGCACTTTAAGCCTCACTATAAGTATTCATTTCGGCAATCTTGGACGAAATTGAACATGAATTCCTCTCTCAGATTGTAAACCTAAGAAGTTACAAGCAAGTTTTACAGGAATCTGAGTTTTCTCTGTTGGTTCCAGATGGAAATTCAAGACTGAATAGTAAACAATCGCCTTCAGCTCCATCAAAGCGAATCGAGAACCTGTATAACACAAAAAAACATATGTTAAGTAAATTCTTTTTCTTTCTTTTTACTTTCATACCAATGCAATTTCGAGGTCCTGCTCCAAAAGGTACGAAAGTCATCGGGTGAATAGACTCTTTATTCTCGTCGTTAAATCTTTCGGGATCGAATTTATTAGGATTCGGAAAGAAGTCAGGACTTCTGTGATATCCTAGAGATGGAAACCAGACAACATCGCCACTTTTGAAATTGTATTCCTTGCCTTCGTCGTATTTCAAGGTGAAATCGCGCGTACAAACACGATCAAATACTAAGCCTGCCCACATTCTCAGTCCTTCCGAGACAACCATGTCCAAGTACTTAAGCTTTTGTATAGAATCGTAATTGAGAGACTTTCCGCCAAGTTGTTTGTTCATTTCTGAAATTTCAATAAACAGTTTCTCTTGGACATCTTGATGAAGCACAATTTCATAGATAATGAAACTGGCGAATGTCGATAATCCTTCAAATCCAGCCACGAAGAAGATAAAACATTGCGCAACAACTTCATCATCAGTCCAATTCTTTTTAGTAGATTTTTTCATCCCGATTTCTGATTCCTCAACCGTGGCGAATCCTGCAGAGTCCTTTTCGGTCGTCGTGTGAGCTAAATTGCCTCTCTTCGCCTCCATCAAGAGATTTATCATGTCATGACGAACTATATTCTTCTCTTCTCGGGTCTTGATGGTGTTCATAACGAGATCATGAATAAAAGCCTTGCCGTCTGCATCAAACATTGTTATTTTCAAGAATTGCATTAACTTTGGAGCCATTCTGTAGGCCATGAATCTAAATTGCACTTTTAAGCTGCTGAAGTTTAATAACTTCCTTGTTGTCTTGTAGAAATCATTTTCTTTCGCATTCATAGAATTCACTTTGACTCCAAAAGCGCAAGATCCAATAACGTCAGTCGTGAGTCTTGTTAGAAGTTCTTTTACTTCGTACGTTTGAGGTCCTTTTTCATTGATTTCTGCCTGCACAAAATCTATCATTTGCTCGCAAATTTCCATCATAAGACTGCACATGAGACGCATTTTGCTTCCTGTGAAGGCAGGACTTAAAGTCGATCTCATGTCCTTCCATTTCTGACCTTTTAAGTGAAAAAGTGTGTTGCCGATAAGAGGATCAACGTCTTGGGAGAAGAAAGGCTGATGATCCGTGAAACTGTCAAATTCCTTAATAGCAAGTTGCTTGGCAATCTCTGGATCAAGAACGACGATTATAGGTTTCCGAAATTCGAAGAGGCCCATCAGTCTGCAATTAAATTTGGTGACTTAATCACAAGTTTGCAGATTTGATGATAAGACAACTTACTTTTCTTTCGGAAATTGTCTCGTTACATCAATAACAAAGTCGTACAAATTGATTTGTTTAGTAACCAATTTGAAGTAATTCCCAAACAAAAATACAGGTTTGCGGAATTTTATGCCTCTTTCTAAGAAGAAATCTTCATTCTTCGTTCCGAATTGATAAAGGTAAAAGGCAACTGCGGCCACAACTGAGAAAACCAGAAACCAAAACACCATTATTACTCTATCACCTTGTCTGTCACTGTGTGATAACTTTAATTCTTTGATAATGTTCCCTTAGCTACTATATTTTCTTTGAAAGCGCGTGGAGTTTTCACGTACTGAGATGGAAACATACTGAATACGGCGGACGGTCAAAATTCATGAGCACCCAATCTGGCGCCTAAAGCATAACTTTATCGGTGTGACTGTGAATGTGCGTGTTCTTCGCAGTCAATATAAAAACACTCCCACATGGAAAATGATTCTAAAAACAACCTTGACTTTCGTGAGTTTGCGTGATTAAATGATTACACTGTGTTGATAAATTTTTTACATCTCGACATGTATTAAATGCTGGGTTTAAGAGATTCACTACTGGTTATCGCCTTAATGCCGTGAGAATTTCCTTTCTTAGTGCAATCGATTTTATTTCTCTTCCCAGTCATACATATATAATGATAATATGTGTGTGTGTGTTAAGTGTATTCTTTTTCATTGATGATTTCATTATGCCTTGTTTCTCGGCGTGAACTGCACCCAAATTCCCTTCTCCGTTTTCAAGGCGGGATCTTTGGAGAGCTTCAGAGGGATCTGAGTCTTTTCATTAGGCTCGATGATAAAGTCCAGAATTAGGTAGTAAAGCAGAGCTTTCACTTCCATCAGAGCGAATCTCGATCCTATGCAATTTCGCGGTCCGACGCCAAATGGAATATATGTTCCCGGGGTGATATTATGCTTATTCTCATCGCTGAATCGCTCAGGGTCGAACTTCTCGGGGTTCGAGAAATATTTTGGATCATGATGGAATCCAATGACAGGAATCATGAAGAAATCTCCCTTTTTAAATTGATATTTTACATCTTCTGAGACCTCCACCAAAACATCCTTCGTACAGAGCCTGTCAGTGGCGATAGCGGGTGGCCAGAGTCTCAGTAGTTCAGAGACCACCATGTCCATGTATTTCATCTTCTGGAGAGTGTCGTAATTCAGAGATTTACTTCCCAACTCCTCATTAATTTCACGGATTTCCTCGTAGAGTTTCTCTTGGACATCTTGATTCACTGCAAGTTCATAAGCGAGGAACGATAAAGCTTGAGAGACAGTCTCAAAGCCAGCCAAGAAGAACAGGAAACACTGAGCTAGAATATCGTCCTGGGTTAGAACCTTCTTTCCTCCTGCTTTCCCCACTTCAGACTCCTCTACAGTGGCGAATCCTGCAGAATCCTTGGCAGAATCTTGATGTTCAGTTGTTTGATGAGTTAAATTTCCCTTCTTGGCTTCCATGAGAAGGTTAATCATATCCGGTCTAATGATATGGTTCTTCTCTCGATAGTCCATAGTATCAGTAATAGCACTTTTGAAGAATCCAGTCAAACTATCCGGTATGAGCTTGATTCCAAGTTTCTCGAAGACCTTAGGGAACGCCATGAAGACCATAAATTTGATAAGCCGGAAGATATTCGTGAAGTCCATCATTTCTTTGCCTTTCATGAAGAATTCATTCTTCTGATTCTCCAAGGAATTAACTTGAAAGCCAAAAGCACAAGTTGCAATGATGTCATTTGTCATTCTGGAGAAAAAATCCTTCATGTCGTACGTTTGAACTCCTTTAGCTTTGGTCTCTTTGTCGATAAAAGCTGACATTTGCTTTGCACACTGCGACACCAACTCGAACATCAGCCGCATTTTGCTGCCAGTAAAAGCAGGGCTGAGAGTGGCTCTCATGTCTCTCCACTCGTCACCCTTGAGAGAAATCAAAGACTTGCCAAAGATCGGTTCAGCATCATTGGAAATTACACTGCGATGGTCAGGAAAGTGCTCAAATTCTTTCACAGCCAGTTGCTTCACCAGTTCCGGATCCCTGACCATGATGTTGGGCGTTCGGAACTCGTACATTCCGATCAGTCTGGAAATAAACCATTATCTGAGCATGCTTATCAAAGTACACCGATAGGGCTTCTTCTCACCTCTCATTGGGAAAAGCGAAGTAAGAGTCCTTGAAAAAATCTATCATGGTTTTCCGGCGCAAGAAGAGATTTCCTGAATTTCCAAAGAGGAACGCCGGTTTTAGGGACTTGATTCCTCTATCCTTGAAGAAGTTCTCATTCTTATAACCCTTGTCAATTATGAATTTCACCAGGAAAGCCACCGCCACAAGAAGCAATAACTCAAACATTTTGGGTGTATTTTGTTGCGAAATAGCTGTGGAAGTGAGATAAAAAGAAGAGTATGAAAAATAAATAGAGAGAATGAATCGACTTTTTCCAGTGATTCAACTCAAACATGGAAGAATGAATTTACCACGCAAAAAAATCCAAGAACCGATCTCTGTTCGCTTCTGAGTCGTCGAGGGGATATTTTGCAACTAAATTAAGATGCAGTATGGAGGAAACTTTTATATCTATCACTAGAGCTGACCAATGATTCAAAGCTTCCAAAAATATACACACTTGATAAGATTAGAGGTAGAGCAGCACTGAACTCTCCGGCAAGACTGATGAAATTCGCAGTTGAACTGTGGAAGAGAACCCCAAACGTTCTCAACACAAATAAACACGTTTTTATTTTTGCTAATAAACGACGCACACAGAAAACCAACACGATTTCATTATGAAAGGCAAAATTTCATGAATGAGTTTGCGCTTGGTTGGAATATGAGAGACACTTTTCATAGCATATCGTCAGGCTATTCTGGAAGTTTGTGCCTAATTCAAAAGTTCTCTCTGCGCGAAGATTAGATGCACGAGGCGATGAATGAGAAAGTTGATGAGAATGTCTTCTGCAATCAACAAACAATCCTTAAGAGTATTTCAAGCTCAAGCCAGAATGAGTTAACTGGGCAAATTGGATAATTTGCATTAGTGGAGCAAATGACGTGAATGACACAAATTGCCACAGATTTCCTGATCAACAGCCCAATTCGAGATGTTATTCAATGGCTCAGTTTCCTCCGGACCGTCTTTCTGAGTGGTTGGCAAAAGTAAGGTCTGAGTGATATTTATTATATATACATAGAGATAAGGGTGTATAAAGTGTAGTTTTAGGTGCATTTGTTGGACTTTCTGCATGCCAGTGAGATGAAAAATTGCTCCCAGAGCTTTCTCGTGGCTGGATCCATTATAACGAAGTAGGCAAAAAGCACAAATCCCTGAAGAGTGGCTGTCACACAGAAGAGATAGTTGAAGATTAGGTTTCCGCCCTTTTGAGTGTACACCAGAAAGCCGAAGATCCAGGACATTCCCAGCAGGAAGAATAGCAAGACAGACAATCGAATCTGCGCCATTTGAATCTCCTTGTCGTTCTTCTTCGAGCTCTGATCCATTTTTCGCGTGATACTGTAAATCACGGCAATGAAAATGGCAAAATTGGCGATGAAGATCAACCCCACGGGCAGCAGAACTCCAAAGTACAGAGAGTTTCCCTGAGGGTAGCATGAAGTCCCTTGCAAATTTCCCTCGTCAAAGAAATTTGGCGGCAAGTAGGAATCAATGTCGAGTCCCAGAACGAGGATCACGGGAAGTATGGGCAAAATCCAGCCCACAATTATTGATTTGAGGGTGAAATGAGGCGGTCGGGGATTGCCGAAGACCACCACGTATCGCAGATACTGAAGGTAGGCTGTGATGAGCATCCAGGAGAACACCACAAGCACAGAATACTGAAGAAGCGCCCCAAGAGTGATGCAAATGATCCTCATCTCTGTCTTGTTCACACCCTTGACTAGATACTCGGCATTTATGAAGAGGAAGAGTAGCATTTGTATGGCGATCGCGACTGACAGCTGCAGAAGCACTTTAGAACCCGCTTTCTCGCGCCAAGTTTTGAAGAATATCGCTGTGATCCAGATTCCCACAACACCAGCTAGCGATAGTGAGCATCCCAGAACAGTTATTATGTCCAGTGCGATCATGTGAATCTCCTGGATGATCATCTCTTCTGGCGGAAGATCGTGCTTGAAGACGCCAGTCACGAGAAAGGCAAAGTTGGTGATGTGAGAGCATCCACAGAGGACAATCGGTGGATCAATTGATGAAGATTGTGACAAGAATTCACATCCTGTTGTTGCCCACTCACTGAAAATCTTCCTGTCTTCTGGTGTAAAATCCCAAAAGCCGCAAGCCTGAGATTCGTTGACGATCTTCTGGTTTGCGTGGAAGATGATGGGCAGGAATGTGGGAAGATTGGGACCATATCCAGGTATTTTAACAGTCACAATGCGTCCATTGACCCTGAAGAAGGACACATTGTGATTCACCTGGAAGAACCGATCATTGGCGATAACGTTGATTACGATTCTCAGTGGTGGTTTTGGTTGTTGTGTGGCATTGATCGCAATTGTTTGATTGATCTCATTGATTCTCCTCAGCAAATCCTCTGGGATGAAAGTGGCCACTTCGAGATCTTCTCGGTTTTCAATCAGATCTAAAGTGGATTGATTTTTGTACAAATACTCCACTGTGAAATCCGATAAATCGTCTGAAGAGTTTCCATCTGATCGGTAAAGTGCGATTCCGGATATATTCGCCACAGAAGGATCAATCACATACGTAATGATGTTCTTGGCTTCCACCTTGATCACTCCCATCAATCGGTTGACCTCTTGTCCTGAGATTGTCTTATTGGAGATGCTGGCATTTATTAACACTCCGCTCACGATCCTCTCGTTCATGTCCAGAAGAGTGTTTGTAGAATTGAGAAGCTGACTAGCCTTGGCGATGGTTTCATTCACCTGTAAGATAACGGGAAACAGGTTATTAGATTATTATCAAGATCAGCTTATCTGCTATTCACCTCCATTGTGTGACTGAAGATCGTAACCATCTTCTCAATTTCATCAAATCCAATGTCGCTGTCGTTCGATTTGGCGATCGTGCGTGTTAAGGAGCTCATCAGATACAAATCCGCCGGGATGAATTCCGAAGAGTCCACAGAAGTGCAGATCACCTTCATGCGATCGATCAGCTCCACAGGAGCTTTCTCAGAGTTGTCCAGATCAAAGAGCTTTTGTGTGGTTTCTGGTATGTCGTCTTCCTTGCAGACTGGAATGTTGTGTTGATCCCACTTTGCGCCAATGACAAAGTCTCCTTTACAGAACCTGTAAACCGGCAAAAGATTGGTCGTTAAGCACAGCTGCTGAAGAACAGATCTCTCTCCTATTGTCGCGCTCATCCACTGAATCTCATCTGATTCTGCGACTTTATAAGGCAAGCAAAACTCCGTGTGCCGCACTGTGATGTTGTAAAAATGATCTCTTCCAGAAGATCTATTTGCGATCCTCTCCATGTCATTGTAAAGCTGGTGAAGAGTACAAATCTCACGGGAAATGTTCTTCGGACATTTATCTCTTGAAACATCTTCTTCCTCGACAAAGACGTGAAAAATCATCTCGAGTTTAGATGAATTCTGAGGTAATTCTTCAATCCTCATTATCTTCACTTCATCTATGCGTTCCTTGTAATCGTACTTCTTCAGCAGCTTCCGGAAATCTTTAGCCAATTCCTTGAGTTTCTTCTTCGTGAATCCACCTTTGCACTTGTTGCACTCTGTGATAGTTCTGAAGGCAAAAGCCGTTCCATCGTCCTCTTCATAGGCGATAACAGGAGCTGATTTCACCACTTCGTAGTTGGGCAGCGAAAGTCCCTCGCACCAATACCTCCCCGGCGTGTCTTTTCCGAGCTTCAGCTCGTAGATGCTCTTGCTGATGTATTCGCGATTGAAGTTGTTGTTCAGCCCAATGATGTCTGTCGCCTTTATCTTATCGCTCCACACCAAATCTTTAATTTTAACATTTGACAGCAAAGCACTGTCGGCGTCTGTGTAGCATGTTACACCTGAACAGAGTTGGGGAGACGAAAGAACATTCAATATTCTCGAGTAATTTAGAAATTTTGCAACTCCTCACCTGAGTCATCGTCATCTCTGCGCCACAGAAATTCTCCAGAATATATTATAAGCTCCAGAGTTTCCTCTTTACGATGGAAGACAAGGCTCAATACGGGCGGAAATATTTGAATCACATTCACACAAGAATAGCATTTTGGATCCTTCCTTAATATCCACTGACCCTTTGAATCTAAGGCCATATAGAATACATTCCTCGAATCCAATGATTTTATACACGTATGCATAGTTGGATTCCAGGCTAAAAAATCCACACTGTCTTTCATTTCAAGCCACTCTGATTTATTCCAACGAGAAATATTTGGTTTATCGGCAGTAAAAAAATTCGCCTTGCAATCACCCAATTTAGGTGAAAACTCTCTGTAATGCCTCCATACTGCACTAAATAGCATTGCTTTGTCCTTTGAATTGGACAAATAAAACTGATCACACATTTCAAAAAAAGAGGTATGTTTATGTCCATCATATCCATATTCTAAAAAAACTGGAATTAACCGAAGGCAGTAATTCTGTTCCCCAACATATCTCGATGTGTAGGAATTTTCTGGGCAAGATAATTGCAAATGAGGCTGTTTCTCATTGTAAATGCAGATCGAAGGAAATTTTTTCCGACAATCTTCAATGCGTATCCTTTTGAAGTTGTGCTCCCTTGACAGCACTAAACAATTTCCTCCTGGGATTCTTTCTCCTTCCAATCGCCATGTTTTGAAGTCTTCCTCCTCAAATACTAGTCCATAATTATCTCCTCCAGGAAGATGCCAAATGAACGGATAAAATTGTCCATAACTTCTTAAGGGAAGCCAGAAATTATCTGCATTCAGTTCTTCAAGATAGTTTCGAACGGAATTAAAATCTTCATCACTTAAGTGAAGAACACTGTCATGAACTCCCCACTGAACACAATCACTTTCCCACTCTTTCGCACTGGAGACAAGAATACACAGAATATTATCCTCTCCTTGGCTCTTGATCTCGACGAAAGGATCCGGACAGCGAGACATGTGCTCCAGAAGTGGCTGAGTGTATTTGCAGTCAGGCGGATCGGGAGGATGAAAGCCATCATATCGACAGTCTCGATAAACGGGAAGCTTATTTTCATCTAAGCAAACAGGATCAGTATTGAGCTCAGTATATCCACTACTTGATCTAGAAATAGTAAAAAAGAAGTGATTCAAGAGCCACTCGAGGAGAAATATGATATCTTACTGTAATGTTGACCAGGAAACATTCACATTTTGCGAAGTTACGTGATAATGATCAGGACACCCCTGAGAAGAAAATTTTCATTTGTAAAACCCAGAAAATTCTCAGAAATCAATCATACATCTTTGAAAGAACTTTGGAGTAACACAACATTAAGCTGTAGCACAATAAATATAAAAACCACTAAGTATTTCATAATTCACAAGTAAAATCACTTCTTAAGAAATATACAATCTGCATTCAGCGAGGTTCTGTGACTAACTGAGGCTCGCGCCGAATGTTTTTCGCTCTTTGGAGAGACACAGTCAAAAGAATTCCTCTATATTTAATAGCTCGGTGTATTTGTTCGACGCCACGTAATAATAGTTATAAAGAAAAATGAAGATAAGAACATTTCTGCATGGTGCGATTATCAAAAAACAACTCATTCGCTGTTTGCACAGTGTATTTAAATTGTCGTCTCACTTTTGCAGAGGGAGTATTTGAGCTTTTCCCCGGTCGCCATGGAGAAAGCTTATACTTCACCCCTGAAGATTGCTCTTATCTTCTGCCTGCTGCTCTGCGTCTCTTCGCATCGTGCAGCGGCGAAAGAAGTAAATTATAATTGCATTAGTCAGAGGATTATGCTTTTGACAATTTAATGTTTTTAATCACAGCGATTGAGGCGAGGCATTGACTTATCCTCAACGCACTCACTCATTTCTGATACACGCCTTCCGGGAGATTTCTTTCCACTGAATTACACCCTCGATCTCAGGCCCAAATTGTCTGAGTCAACTTTCACGGGAAAAGTCCGCATCTTTGTGCAGTGTAATGAAACAAGCGACAGAATCACTCTTCACGCTCACCACGAGCTGCAAATTGAGAGATCGGACATCAAATTGCAGAGAATCCTGGACAGTGAGGACTCGTAAGTTGTCTGCTTTGAACTAAAAGGCTGATAAATTGAAGCAATGTCTTTCAGCGATGAACTCAATTCAACGGAAGTGAAGATCAGGAGAGCTTCTCACACTCCCAAGAAGCCTATCTTTGTTATTTATCTCGCGGACACTGTAAAGAATGGTACGCTTTTGGAACTAGAGATTGCATTCAGCGGCATGATTTGGGAGAGCGCTGAAGGTCTGTTCAAAGGATCTTATCTCAATAAGAACGGAACGAAAACGTGAGATTATACCATTAATGTTACTGCCCTTGATAGCTGATTTCAATTCTTGGATTACAGTGAATTTCTGGTCACCACGTTCAAGCCAAACAACGCAAGACGTCTCTTTCCGTGCTTCGATGAGCCTTCCTTCAAGGTTCCTTTTGATTTCAGTCTTTCCCGGCCGGAGGAATACCACACACTCTTCAATAGTGATCCATTCAGCACGGAACCTCTGTAAAATTCATTTTCAAACTATTAAAGACGTATAGTTTGAAGTCTGATCTTATCTTTCTAGGGATGGAGAACCAGGAACTGTTGTTGATCATTTCACTTCAATCCCAAAAATATCTGTCTTCTCATTGGGATTCCTCACATCTAAACTGGTTCTGATCAAAGACGACACTTTGGTTAAAAATGAGGAGCAGAAAGTGGAAATCTACGTGCAGCCAGGAATGGAAAATGCCTTTCCAACTCTCTATCAGAAGGTTCACACTGTTATAAAAGCAGTTGAAGATTTCTGGGGTGTTAAATATGCCATCTGCAAACTCAAAATCGTCGGTCTTCCTGGACTGACAGCTGTTAAACCCATAGACAACTGGGGATTGATCATCTTCAAGTAACACCAACCTATTTATATGTCAAGATATCGATTGAATGATCTTATGTCTTTCAGGGAAAGCGAATTACTCCAAGCGAGCCACTTCATGCTTGCTCAAGAGATGGTCTATCAATTCCTAACTCATTCAGCCACTCCGCTTTGGTGGAATGATGCCCACATTACTCGAGCCATGGCAGGATTCTTAGCTGCCACTATCGCTAAGGAACACACTGAAGAGTTTGATGAAAAATGGCCAATGACAACCCTCTATTCGCTTTACTACGAATTCAGCAAGAGATATCCACACTCGAGAATCACTGGCATGAAGCAGGAGTCAATCTGCAGCAAGACTGAACTATTCCTCAGAATGATCAACTATACTTTCGGATTTGAGACTTTCAGGAAGGCTATGCAGAACTTCTACGAAGAGAAGTACGGTAATCTTTATGAGAATATTGATCTTATGATGATGTTTCTCATTTCTTGAAGGCGATGTGCAACTTTCCAGAGTGAAAATATTTGGAATTCACTGACTATTCAAGCACATAGAGATCAGGTTTTAGATAAATCTATCAGTGTGAATGAAATTGCTGAGTCCTGGATATCGAAGGATCGTCTTCCTGTCGTTACAATTGAGAGAAACTACGATAAGAAGGAAGCCAAAGTGTCTCAAGTAATAATCTATCCTCAAATATGTGACCAAGTATGTGACATTCTTGCTTACTTCCTCATCTTTACAGAAAGTGTACTTGAGAGAACGTCCCCATGATGTCCCTGAACAGGAGAAAATGCTCTGGTTTATTCCACTTATCGTGGTCACTGAAGACAAACTTGACTTTACCGACACGAAGCCACGCTTGTGGGTGAAAAAGACTCGGGAAACAACCATGACAGGACTTCCGGAAGCATCCAAGTTCATTATCGTGAATCCTGAGGAAATCGGACCCTTTCCTGTGAACTATGATGTGCGCAATTGGAACCTCTTGGCAGAATTCCTGCAAACCGAAAACGGAAGAAGCAATATTCCCATTTTCACGAAAGCCAAACTGCTTCACGATGCCTGGAATCTAGCCTATGGAGGACATCTTAGCTTCGCCACAGCTTTCAATATGACACTCTTCATGAGAGATGAGAAAGACCATCTCGTTTGGAATCCAGTCTTCACCATGATTGATCACATCGGCAGACATATTGATAGTTCAGCTGTTCACAACAAGTTTGAAACCTACGTGAGAATTCTCTTGACTCCTCTGTACGAACGATTGGGATCTGAGGCTCAGCCGAGTGAGGAACATTGGAAAGAGAATCTCAGATCACTGTCTAAAACCTTCCTTTGCCGTGCTGGATACAAGCCTTGCATCGAGCGCGCTCAGGCTGCTTTTGCCACATGGAGGAACGCTAAGGATCCGGACGCAGAGACTCCTGTGGAGAATCAGTACATCTGCCCGGTATTCAAGTGGGGCACGAGGGAAGAGTGGGAGTTCGGCTTGCAGAGAGTCATCAATTTCCCGAAAGAGAGGAAACAAAGTGAACGAACTTACTTGCTGAAAAATCTCGCTGGATGTCCTGCGCAGACTGAGAAGATTGAGCGACTGCTCAACATCACGATCTTGGAGGAGAATGGAAACTTCACGGAAAACGATATCTTCCTGATCTTCAGTATGCTTTCAGGAGGATCTAATGGATACACCACGCTCTTCAACTTCTTGTCTAACAACTGGGACACCATCAGACAGAGGTGAGTTTTATAAAGTCTACTTTGTGTCTTTATTATTATTGAAGCGTCATTTGTAGATTCGAGAGCAAGACAAACCTTTGGGACAGTTTGATTAGCGCTTCCACTGGCGTCTTCACCACTCAAGAGGGCTATGACATGGTCTCGGCTTTGTATGTGAAGCGCCAAGGTGAGTTTGGCAGTGCTGAGCACATTATCGAGAAGTCCCTGAAGAACATCAAGGAGGAAACCAAGTGGAGTGACGAGAACTTGCCCGTGATCGAGCAATGGCTTGACGACTACCTCAAGACCGCCAACACATCTGCCAACAAGTTCATGGGCTAGGCCAGAAGTCAGTTAGAAATGATGGCATTCTTTATTAATAAAATCTTCCACTGTGCGACACTTGCAATCTGTGCAGGAGGAAAAAGACACGTGTTAGCAAGCACATTCTAAGCTTCTACGTTTCCTTGCGGACTCTGACAAAGTGTTAAAGGTGAATCGTGCTTAGTATTCATCTCCTTCGCCAACTTCCTCGGTGCTGTCCACACCCACTTCCTCATAATCCTTCTCCAGCGCAGCTAAATCCTCACGCGCCTCGGAGAATTCGCCCTCTTCCATGCCCTCGCCCACGTACCAATGCACGAAGGCACGCTTGGCGTACATAAGATCGAACTTGTGATCCAGACGCGCCCAGGCTTCGGCGATGGCGGTGGTGTTGGACAGCATGCAAACAGCGCGCTGCACCTTGGCCAGATCTCCGCCGGGAACCACAGTCGGTGGCTGGTAGTTGATGCCCACCTTGAAGCCGGTAGGACACCAGTCCACGAACTGGATGGATCTCTTGGTCTTGATGGTGGCGATCGCGGCGTTGACGTCCTTGGGCACCACGTCTCCGCGATACAACATGCAGCAGGCCATGTACTTCCCGTGGCGAGGATCGCACTTGACCATCTGGTTGGCCGGCTCGAAGCACGCATTGGTGATCTCGGCCACCGTGAGCTGCTCGTGATACGCCTTCTCGGCGCTGATCACTGGCGCGTACGTGGCCAGCGGGAAGTGAATACGCGGATAAGGCACCAAGTTGGTCTGGAACTCTGTGAGATCCACATTGAGTGCGCCATCGAAGCGCAGCGAGGCAGTGATGGAGGACACGATCTGACCGATCAAGCGGTTCAAGTTGGTGTACGTGGGGCGCTCGATGTCCAGATTTCGGCGGCAAATATCGTAGATAGCCTCATTATCCACCATGAAGGCGCAATCAGAGTGCTCGAGAGTTGTGTGAGTGGTCAAGATTGAGTTGTACGGTTCGACGACCGCCGTTGAGACCTAAGAAGTCCAGAGAGAGACGGATTAATGACGAATGGCGCAAGTGAACTTGACGGAGGTCGTGAGAAATATGCTCAATTGAGCGGCATTTCATGGTAGTTGAAGATTTAAGCACAGAATCTTTAGCTGTTCTCCTCATCTTCTCATCTCTCTCACCGCGTGTCTCAATTCCACACACATTCTCCAAATGCCATGTGTCTCTCATGAAGATTTCCCACACGAAATTGACCCAATTCCCGCTTAACCTTGGAAGACAACAATTTGTGTCAATGCAGGACTGAAATTTAGGACTTCAGAGTGTCTTTGGCACGCCCCACAGTTGGTAAAGTGGAGCAGCGATTGTCGTGAAATGAATAAAATATTCCCTTGTGAATAGGGGAGAAAGCCACCGACAAGCGGTGAATTTTCCCATGAAGTGAAAATGAAATTGAAGTGATTGCGTGTTCTCTCGAATATCGACATCCTTAGCCGGCAATTATTGCTATATTTTTTCAACACTCGAGAGAAAAAACGCCCCGAAGAAAGTCCGTTAAGGAGATTTATTCCCTTGGATATGGGTTAGTGAACTCTTATCGCGTTTGCCGTATTTACTCAATCCTTCCACCCTTCACAAATCCACAGCAAATCCCATACAATTTCACATGGCAGGAAGTGATTTATGTGTAGTGTTTCGTGTGTGATCGATACAGCGCGGCGAAGAGTGGATGAGGAAAGACACAATTCCGATACAAACCTGAGGCGCTGGATAGATGGAGAACTCCAGTTTCGATTTCTTGCCATAGTCCACGGACAGGCGCTCCATGAGCAGCGACGTGAAGCCACTTCCGGTGCCGCCTCCGAAGGAGTGGAAAACCAAGAAACCCTGCAGGCCGGTGCATTGGTCGGCCAACTTCCGGATGCGATCCAGAACGAGATCGACAATCTCCTTTCCGATGGTGTAGTGGCCTGAGGAATTGAAGACGACACGTCAAATAGGGGAGAGCAGGGTAGATAAGGGCATTATTTAAAAGATTAAAATGGCGATTTTATATAACAACAACGAAAATTTTGTGATATTCTTTGTAGGTTCTTTTATACTTAAACTCGTTGCTTTCATTGATTTAATGTAAAATATACACAAAAATACGACTTTTCTCTCATCTAAAGATTGCATGTTTGCCGCAAATTTCCCATACTTTTCTTTGAAGAATCACGAAATTGTCTCGCTTTACGCTATCAAACATTTTCTTCACATATCGCGATGTATAAAATCCCATAAATTCTATCGCTTTTCGCCAGTTAATCAGAAGATCGGCAATAAAAGCCATCCTCGGCCAGTGAAGCGTGAACTTCCCATCCCACAGAATTGGCCTCAAGACTCGCAGAAACTCTCACTCTACATTTCGCCCAATTACATCCAATTGAGATCAACAAACTCTCGCAGCGAGAGCTGATCTTCATTGCTAATTAATGCGCCAAAAATTAATTCAGAGCGAAAAACACCATCTCTGGACGCCCATTAAAATTCCATCCCAGTGATTGATGATGGACTCACCGCGGGCGTAATTGTTGGCGGCGTCCTCCTTGCCGGTGATCAGTTGCTCCGGGTGGAAGAGCTGGCGATACGTGCCGGTTCGCACCTCATCCACTACCGTGGGCTCCAGATCCACGAACACGGCGCGCGGGACGTGCTTGCCGGAGCCCGTCTCGCTGAAGAAGGTGTTGAAGGAGTCATCGCCGCCGCCGATCGTCTTGTCCGACGGCATCTGGCCATCGGGTTGAATGCCGTGCTCCAGGCAGTACAGCTCCCAGCAGGCATTGCCAATCTGCACGCCGGCCTGGCCAATGTGGACTGAAATGCATTCCCTCTGCGAGTGACGAGAAAGAAAACACAATTTTTCTATGATTACTCATGTGCTGGAAATAAATCGCCTTCTGGCAGCGAGAAAACCATCTCGAAAGAATTTAGAGAGGCACAATAAGATGATAACAGACGGCAGTTGTGACTCATTGAGTGCTGCCAAAGATAAATCTCTGGAACAGCTGCAATTTGCATCACCACAGAGTCAGTCAAATTAATTTCTCAGCTCGTTTACAAGTGCACAATCGCTGGGTTTCTTCTCCAGAGTGCACACGAAAAAGGGCCAAATCAAACACAACAGCAATTAAGAGGGTGTCTTTCTATGCAAAAATAAACACTTATGAGTCAAGAGAACAAACTTGTCCAGAGCGAAACTGCGACACTCGCGCAATCGATGCGTGAGGCGTTGTTTATTCAGGAGCTCAAGAGTTTGTGAAGTGTAAAATAATTGATAATAAATATTTAATTGCTCCTTTTCATGCGTTTAAGCCTTGACAACCTTTATCGACTTGATTTCCTTCAGCTAAACTGTGAACCAACATTTGGACTATTTTTCAATTCATTTCCATGCGATGATGAGGCACAAAGCGACTCTCTTTTCCTGAGAAAATCAAATAGTTTTACACATTACTCGATATGTGAAGCTTTCACCACAAAATTGTTGGCATAGATTCCACAACATTCAATATCCCCGGTTTTCCAACACAAAAGAACACTCCTTTTTCGAAGGCATTCACCCCGAGCAACCCATCATGACAGCACGCGCTTTTCCACCCCTTAATATCGTGAAAATATCCATTTAATTCAATTCAATACACTCACCCGTCTTCTAATGCGATTGTAATTGAATTTGGGCCGTTTTTTCGGACTCGCAAGTAATTTTCAATCATTAGCATTTTGATTAATTGCCGCAAGTGGATCCGGGAGATTTCGTCAATTGGACTTCGTCTGGGTCATCAGAACACTTTTACACAGCATAAGAACTACAGATTTTTCTAAAACTCTACTTCTAAAACTGTACTAACTTTCTTTCTCGCTGTGAACCAATGAAAAAAGTTATGTGAAGAGAATTGGGCGGGGCATTCGAGTGGGCGTGGCTTTGAATGCAATTCTCCAGCGCAAAGATAAGACTGTATAGGAAATGGTAGCTAAATTCGCACTGATTACTCCGTAATAAAACAACTTTTTCAGTTCCTTTTCTAGCGGTTCTTCAAGTGCCCAACCCAGTCGAAGAAGCAAGCCAAGCGTTAATTTCCAGGTGATGGCAAATCACAGACGCACTTAATTCACTCCTTTCTCAATTGCTTTCGTCTCGCTCAAGACTGGGTTTGGTGATCTTGTCTGGTTGCGCCTGGCTGACCTCTTGTCTCATTCACGACATTTCTCTTTCCCGGGAATTTGACGCCACACACGAATTTTCCGGCCCAAGAAGTCCACCCCATTTTGCACCTTGCTCTGGAAAGTTTCGTGGTCACACGCGAGAATTTCATTAAGTCCACTGATTTACCTGTTCGGTCACCTTTTATGCTAATTGGCCGACTGTTTTTTTGCCTGCCACGGGAGGCATTTTATGCTAAAGAAGTCAAAGAGATCGTCCACCCACTCAATTGAACACTCAGCCTCTTTCTATGGGTGGCGCATTTTTGAGACGCCCGCGGTTTTATCTCATGAAATTTGTGAACAATGATCCAATAATTGGATAATGGTTCAAAACGACAGTGATCATATATCATGAAGTCCATAATAAGACATCCAATAACTTTGTCATTCAATGTAAGTGAGTCGATTTGCCACAAGACTTCACACGACACTTGAGCAATCTTTGTGAACAATACAAGGAGTGGTTGATCTTCGAAACCCTCTCCATCGCTTCAATTTCCGTCACTTTACATTTTATTGACTCGCGTCGGGAAGCAGATGTACTCCAGAAAGTCACATCTCAATGGTGACTAATCAACATAAAACCGCCATCAAATTGGGATGAATAGTGATTTCTGGGTGGCATTTTTTTTGTGCTCCAAATTGAACAATAAACCTGAAGAAATTCATCAAATTCTCCTGACTTTCAAGTCGAACGACTCATAAAATGTCTTTCCTGAACAAATAAGCGGTGGTAAAAAGTTGATATGTTTACTCAGACGATAATCTCCCCCCGTCAATTAAATTGCAAGAAAAGTTGTATTATTAGCACGGCAAAAACACGTACACTTTGCAAGAATATGGTTTTCGCTCAGGATTCGCGTGACTTCAGACATGCTAAACTTTTGGGATGATTTCTCCCAAAATCCACATTAATATGTCCTCTATGCCATTTAGTTTATTGGGCACACACGAAGCCTTCTTTGGCCTGAATGCAAATATAAGGAGTGGTTCGGCTTCTGAGGTATATTTTTGTGTGTCACACTTTTCCAGAGATAGAAATTCCCATTGATGACTCATCGATTTTCACGCATGTCTTTTCCTTAAGTCTGACTTCTTTGTCACTTCAGAGATGCAAAGGAATTTCCTCTCAGGAGCCAAAAATACTCTTGAAAGCAAATTAAAAAAAAAAATGCAGAAAAATCACTCACCATGTTTGCTTGAGATTCTAATAATTCCTTGACGCTTTCACTAACAGATTACTTCTTCACTGCTGATGACTTAATTCTGGAGCACTTCAGGAGATGCCAGAAGATTAGCGATGGTTTGAGAGTGGCCCGTAAACTTGTCCGCAATGCAACAAATATGAAGATGGACTGTTGTGCCTCCGCGAGCGACTTCCCTTTTATAAGCCCACTCGTCGCGCCAGAAAGAATGAAAAGTGGGGAAAATCTCATGGAAGAATTCTCAACACTGGAAGAACTCACTCTCTCTCGCTCTTCGTGCTCTCTCACTATTCTCGCGGACAATTGTTGCCGGTTCAACAACGAAAATCTATGCACGAAGAAAGAGAGAGACGCGTGTGTGTCATTAGACACATAAAATATGACATTTTCAGCTACTTACTTTAGTTATCAAGACTCTCATGAACATCATCTATTAAATTTTGCCACAATTTCGCACACAAAACATGACGATTCGCCGCTTTTTCTACACTCTGCTCTAATACAATTAATTGATGCTCGCTAACAAGTTAATTAGTGGTCAACTGAGCAAAGTGACATCAATTCATGCTACCAAATTTGGTCACAAAGAAACCCACCCTCCACATTCTATCGATTTTCACTTAGCATAATTTTTGTCGATAAAGAAGCCCTCAATTTCTGGGACTATTACAAAGAGTAATTTTTGTGATTGCTAGATATTGAATTTTCATGAATTCTGCTCGTTTTCCGTGAAATGTTCAGCGGTAGGAACAGAAAAACAATCCAATAAAATTATTGAGATGTTCATTTTGTGTCACACTATATGAGAGAAGTATAAAATAGAGTAATTTCTGCAACAGGAAAAGCAGAATCAGAAATATGTGTAATAAAAAGTGTCATATAGAGCGAAAATGTAGAAGTTTTTAGAAATAAATTCGACCAATCTTTGATTATTTCAGATATTGTTTCACTTACTCATAAACAGCAACAGAATATTACTTTCTAAAGACGAAGAAGAAAGTTCTGGAGGGACTTACCAGTTTTCCATCAATGCTTTTCGGGAAAATATATTATAATTTATTCAACGCATATTTGGATATCACAATTGCCGCTTGTCCTTTTGAATCGTCTCTTAATTGGATGATTTGGTACAGAACAGCTTCAAATAGTGCTGAACATACTCGCCACAGAGTTCGCCTGCAAAAAGTCAGCAATCAATTTCCAAGCTTACAACTCTTCCAAAATTCGATCTTACCTCTGGTAAACTCCGGTCCGCCCCTGAGTCGTATATTTCTTTGGACAAAGTGCATGTAGACGGAGTGGAAGATGCCTGAATCGCCAGTCTTCATCGCCGCCTCCAGAAACTTCCTGGCCGGCAGCACATCCACGTCCGGAAGGGTTTTCGCCAGGCGCAGCGCGTCAATCACTTTTCCCTGCCCCAAAAGAACTTCGATGATAATCTCGTTGGCGTTCAGCTTCGCCAGCATGTCGAGGGCGATCTGGCCGATTGTGGGATGGATCTTGGAGAGCGAAAGGAGGAAACAAGCCAAAGGCTTTGACTCACTGATCAGAGAATGCGCCACAATTTGTTGCAGCGTCGCCACGAGATTGCCATTGATCAGCTCACAGACAATCATCTTGCTGAGATCGTGCTGAGCGGCGATGCCATGGATTGTGAGCGATTGGAGGTAGAGCATCAGGATCTTGCCGATCTGTTCAGTGTCTGCAATTGAGGACAAGACTTGAGAGTGCATATCTGCTTGATCCACCAGCACTCGCGGTGCCACTGTTGACTTCGGCACAGGCTTCGCTGAAGACGGCGTGGCGGTTTGATTCTGCAGCTCAACATCAATCCACGTCTTATAGACACTATTGATCTTGTCAAAGACATTTGCAATGATGGGCAGCAAGGTTCCTCGATAATTCTCCCCAAGAAGCTCTCGCAGAACGGCCAGAAGATGCGATTTCCCCTCCGTTCGCTGCAGCAGAAATTCAACTAGAGCCACTCGGTTTGTGATGAGCGTGCAGAGAGGCTCAAGCTTCAGCTCCACATACCAGAAGCACCCCAATTTGGCGTCTATAACAATGTTGGGCTGGAAGAGCACCCAATCCGGCGAGTAAAGCGTGCAGTTGACTGTTTCCCCTTCGAGGGAAATGCTGGGCATCTTCAGCGAGAAAGGCCTCAGTGGTTTGCCAGGGATGATGGAATGGTGGTAGATCACCTTGCTGATGGGATCCAACTCTCCAGGCTGCGCCACATCGAAGAGCAGCGACGTGGCGGTGGCCTGATGATGCACAATCACCAGATCATCGATGATGTTGATTGCAAAGCGCCCGGAATGCCCTAAACGCAGCACGTGACACTTCCTAGGCGACAATCCTGGGCCGTTCAGCATGTAGATCACCACTTCCACGAGTCTGCTGCTCGTGGGCTGCAGAATCAGGATTGCAGGTGTTCCATAGATCACCGCCAACGTGCAGTCTCTCTCAGGAACGCTTCTGTCGCTACTCAACTCCAGTCTGGGCAGTTTAGTGATGATGCCCTGCTTCACCAGCACTGGCATCAGCACGCTTCCGCCACCCGACGCGAGCAGGGCGAAGTTCCCGTGAGGACACCACGCGAACCAGTTCACAGTCGTGTTCATGCTCTTCACGGACTTGATTTGTCTGCGATCAAAGTGGATTTGGCACAGTTCGACGCCTGCATTCGATATCATTGCCACCTCCTTCGTGCTGATCCACACGAAGCCGAAGATCTGGGCACTCTTACCCCGGAACTGCAGCATCTCATTGGGAATGGGCGAGCCATTGGCGAAGTTGATGAACTCCACACAAACATCAGTCCGCTGAATGGCAAGAATCTTCATGTCCGGCGAGAACTTTATCGATCGAATTGGACCTCTGTCGTCCATACAGAACGTGTGCACGGCGTCTGCAGGTCCTTTGACCACAATCCCCGTTGCTCCGCCCGATCGCACGGCGAAGACCTACAAGGAATCCGCCCCATCAGCAAAAGCAAGGTTACGTCCGCCCCATCTTGACCCAAACATTGCAAAATTCCCACCTGTTTGTTGGAATCGTCGAAGAACACATTTGTCAGGTGACTCACGGGATCAAAACGAATGGGATTTGCACACAATTCCAGGTAATACAGCAAATCCATGACTTTTTGCGTAATTTTCCTCAAATCTCCTGCATTTCACAATCAAAACAATCGATTTACATGAATTTTTTACAGTGTGACAGCTGGAAATACTTCCAGTCTCCACGAACTTCCAGGCGCCAAAAAGTCTACTGGCGGGAAAATGTCTTTCCCATGCATGTGACGATTTGCAATTTGTACGGATTTTCTCGAGAATTGGGCGAAAAGATGTCGAATCCACTGTGAATTTCTGCCCTCATAAGACAGTCAAAGGCGAAACAGTGTCTGAAGTCTTGTGAACTGCTAGGCCGTAAATTCGAGTTCATTTCAATAGCACGAATGAGGAATTCTTCTCGTGGAAGATCTTCAGGGAATTTCTTAAACAATTCTGGCAGTCTGTGACGGAAGAGATCTCCTTCCCTGGTAAATTTCTTATTGAAGAGTTGCAGTGGCGAGATATCGTCGTAATTTCTTGACATTTTCACAGTCTTCTTTACCTCTGACGACTCTTGAACCTTTGGTGATTTCTCAACTGTGAGGTATTTCACTTTCGAATATACTGAAGACGGCTTTTGAGCATTTCGAGGAGATTTTATCGGTGTGCTGGAGCGACTTCGGAAGGAAGAATGCCTTGGGGAAGTTTTCTTTTCATCTTCATCTCCTTCCTGAATGGCTCTTCTTGATTTCTCCAGCAATGCTGCAATCATTTCTCCAGGTTTTCTCAGAAATTCGATGTATTTACGATAAATAGCTTTTCTTCTCTTTATCAAGAGTTTTTTCTGTGAAGAAAACGAAGTCAATTATTAACTCTCTTTGATGCATTTGATAGTTTTTATCTCACAAAGATTAAAAAAGTTAATTGATGCTAATCACTTCCATAAATTTTGCTTCACAGATCAGAATGCATTCAAGTTGTACTTTATTTCGCGAGACTACTTTAATTTTTGACGTAATTTTGTGAGATTCAAGAGGGTTAAATGAAATATTTACGTAAGTCAGCGGTTCATCCGGACTGTAATAAAAGCTACGATGGAGTTTCTTATCCTTCAACTCTTGCTCAGTGAGGAATTCCAGTTTGCTCCTGGCATCCGGGAAATTTCCTGTCGTCAACTTCTTCAATCTATCGACTTCTTGCATGGCTCGCTTCCGCCTCAATTTCCTTCGATACTCCACGCGAATTGTGTTCCTTTGTCTCTCCTTCATTTCGAGCTTAAGATATAAAGGTGGTCGTTTAGTGTGACTCATCTCTGAGTCATGCAATATTCAGAGAAGTTTACAAGAATGAAGCTTTCGGTACCGTAGCTTGAGAATCATCGGGACAGGAGATAAATTTCTCCAATTTTGCATTCAGTGCCTCTTGAGACTTTCGCCGCGGTTTCACCCAAAGCAAATCCTCTTCGGAGAGTTCTTGTTCCCAGTCAGATGATAAATATTCCTTTTCAGACGGCGAAATTCCCTCTTCATCCACAGAACTCACGCTCGTGGCGTCATTGATTTCCTCGCCGTCCACTGAAAAATATGCAGAAAAGGCGAAAGAAGAAAGGAATCTTCGTTGGCCAAATGAAAGAAATTGATTCTCTTGTATTTATCACTTCTTTATAAGTTTTATCATTCTTTATAATAAATTACAATGTATTTTGAAAAATATTTTATAATCATTTTTACTTACTAAATTCGTTTTAAGAAAATCAATTCAAAATATTAACATTTCTTACTTTTTCTTCAGAGAATCACGAACAGAAGAGCCACTTTGAACTCTTCTGCTCAAGTATTTATCGAATTGACAAAAGAATTTTTTAAATCAAAATCAAAAATAGAGGATTAGGGAGGATAAGTAGGTAACACAACCGAAATTTCCACAAAAATCTGTTTTTTTTTTGAGGATGGAAAATAGGGCACAAAGAAGTGTCGTGAAAATTTTTACACAAGAAAAATGTTGAAAAGTTGTTTTCTGTTTTTGGTTTTCGATAGAAAAAATAAATTTCAGCTTACTTATCTTTTCATCATCTTCCTCCAAAAATTACGCACATTTAGAGATTTTTTAAGAGACATAGATTTTTCATGTTTTTTTTCATCATCATTATTCTTTTTCAAAGATAATTAATTAGCGAAAAAATTTCGATATTCTTTTGTACATGTTTATTTATTATCAATCAAAAATATCTACTTTATTCCTTTTCTTTTTTTATCATTCTTTCATCTTAAGTCTGGTTCATATGGATTTTTCAGCATGCCATTTTATATAGTTAAATTGTTAGAATACTTTCTGTACTGTCTCCTTCTTTTAGATGATAAAATAGTTTTTCTGTGTTTTTCTCTCTCTATATTTTCCCTTTGCCATTTTATCCTTAGGTGGTTTTGAGTTTTCTATTGAACCAAATGCGTTTCCGCGCCTCAGCGAGACGTGAAAACTCGCTAAACATCGTGAAATGAACCTTTCTACAATGTTCGTTTATCATCATTGTAAATATTATTGCGTTTATGTATAGAGAAAATTGTGTAATTTGCGTTTCATCTTCGCAGTTTGTATGTCTTTTTTTTTAGAAACAGATAAAGAAAAGTATACGATAATAGCCATAGAAATGATAATGTATGTTTCTTTCGCTCGACAGACGCAAAGAAGTTGTGAATGAAGATGAAGAGAGGGCAGAGAAATTAACGGAAATCAGTAAATAAAGTGATAAAATCACTTCTAATGTTGTCACTTAAGGCGTGTTTCTGTGGGTTTATCAAAAATTCACATTTTTTTATTCATCAAAAGTTATTCATCATCTCTATCATCATTGTAAACCACTATAATAATCATCGTTAAGTCTAAGAATCATTTCTTCTTGTGTTCTATTTTAATCAGGAAAAAACACTAGGTTTTCATGCCTTCTCGATGGAACTTCAAAAAATCAAGATATTCTCTTCGCGGATTGATCAAAAGTTGACTCTTGTGTGATATGGATTTCACAATTTAATTGTTATTATCTCTTGTTATTTTCTCACTTAACTTCTACACCCTTAAATCACCCTTTCAATATGTAGATTTTTTGAGTCTCGTCCAATTTACAAAGCAGCTGTTTGTTTTCTCAATAATTAAGCCATTCTCCGTCGTTTTTAAGGTAATTTCTCCTCTCATATTGCATTATTATTCAATAGTTTCTAACAATTAGCAAATTTAACGTTTTCCTTCTTCACCTTCTCATGTTTTAGCTATAATAATTTATGTAATTTTCTCACCTTTACTCATCTCACATTTTCTTTTAAATGTTTATATAAACAATCTAAAATGTAAGATTTTATTAACATTTTTTTGAGATTTTTTTTGCTATGATTTTATCATTTATTTTTTTCATTTTAAGTGTTTAATAATAATAATTTTTTTTAATAATCTCGAATAACAACACTACATTATTATATGTCGACAAAAAAGTAATTATTTTGATGTTACATCTTTGCAATCAATGAAAATTTTATTATAGGTCGAATTTGTTGCGTGTCTTTCTGCACCCATAACTGGAGTTTTGGTTGTTTATCAATTTTCTTCTTATCATGTCACGGAAAAGACGCCAAAAAAATAAGTTAGTAAAACTTGTCAAATATTATACTTTCATTGATATATTGAATATTGGATATTTTTTTTTACTTATTTTGAATCTTTTCCAAATCTATCGATTATAGAAATATATAATATAATGTATATATTTTGCTGCTGTATCTCAATTGCATCACTGATCATTGATAATGTAAGTTAATTTCCTCTCAATTGCCGCATTTACTTGCTATTTTGTCATCTATTAATCAACTTGTGCTGTTTTTTATTTCCCAATTTGACGCTCACGCCACCCGAAAAAAAAACCATTTAACTTGTCGAATTGGATGGATTCAGTGCTCAATGCAAATCCCATAAACTTATCCTCTAATCTGCACTGAAACACTCAAGTTTATATTTCATGCTTCAATGGAGCAAACAAAATATTGATGAAAGAGTATTTTTCACATCTTCCAACTCACTCTCGAACTCAAAAAAAATACCATAAGAAAAAGAAATATGTTTCGTGTTTTGGAAAGAGCGCGTTCTTGATAGTCTTGAAAGGAACAACGAAGGAAATAAATGGAAAATATGTACTCATCGTCAAATCATATCCGTTAGAAATCAATTTCTCAAAAGTTGTCCAGCTCTCTTGCTAGCTTCATCTAATCTTACAGTGTTCGCTTCGCCCTGTTTGAGAGAAAAGAAAGAAAAAATCATAGAAAATACAGATTAAAACCAGAGATTCGAGAAGAAAAAAAATAAAGCATATAATAAACTAGCGCATTACTCAATGCAATAACCAATTAATGTTAGTTCTCAAACAATCGCCCAAAAGCCTTTGCTAAACGCCTTCCGCGTGTGTCTTTTCGCCATTATTGGTGAAGCAAAAGCCAGCAAAATCAATGAATCGTGAAGAATTTATCACATCATGTTCGTAAAATAAATTGCTGACTACAAACCATCATAATTCCCACAACTAAATAGCCCAAGAGAATTGTGGCGAGAGTGAATGAAATTCACCATCTCGTTTCTCTCCTAACACAATATTGCTTTGAAAGCGGAGGAAAAATGTGGCTAATATGGCAAAAATTATTCTTTTTAGCACCTTCACGCGAAAAATACGCATCTTCATTTTTTGATCTGTTGGCAAAGTGTCAGCGATTTATTTCACAATCCTTTTTGGGCGCTTAATTAGTAAATAAATGGGGAGAGCGTGAATGAATGCAGTGATCATCCAAAAAATAAAATCTAATAGATTTCATTGAGTGGTTCTCATCAATTTATATACATTTTTCTCTACACACTAAGAAATATGTCTTCAATCGCCAACTGCCAATGTTTTAGTCAACACAAAATAACCATAATTATGTCTAGAATTTTTCCTTTAACTACTGAGCAGATCTAAAAAAATGTCTACCGGCTCTGGAAGCTCTCTAATCTCTTCCTGGATTTGTTCTTTAATCTCTTTAATTGTTATGTTACAACAGTGTGAACTTGTATCATTTTGCCCTACTGTACAACTCGCGAATCAAATAACTTTTACTCATTCATCATCCTTATTTTTTAAAATCTAATCAACATTTGGACAGAAAAAGTGGGTCTTTTAAGTTATTTACTTCATTTCTTCTTCCTCACTTTTTTGGAGTTAAATTACCAGAGAAAACGCTATAAACACAACATTAAACACATCTAAACATCACTAATTGAAATTGAAAGGTCAAAGAACTCAATCAGAGAGTTTTTTTTTTTGTTAGAGAAAGAAAACCTCAAGGCACAGTTTTTCTCATCTTTTGCATAACATCTTGCAAGATAATTATTTAATTTTAACACTGCACGAAAAAGAAAAGCATTCTCAAAACGCAGTGATTTTCATTTTCGCATCATTTTTCTGTTCAAATGCAGTCAGTTTCCAAAAAAAGCAGCAACTCTGTGTTGTCCACACAACTTCTACATTTATTCAAAAAGTCTCTTTGCTGAACTTTTCAAAAACTAATTGCTATTTTAAAAATCTTTGCTTCTTCTATTTCACTTACTTCTTCATCTCGGGACAGAAGAAACGAATAGATAAAATAAAAAAGATGTAAAAATAGAGGTTAAGGATAACCAAAAAAAGAGAGGTAAGAGAGTCTACAGAAAAAAGAACAATATATTGATGCAAACCATTTCACTTTTTTTCGGTATTCATCTTCATCTCATTGTGTTTGTCTCTTCTAATTGATAGTGTTGATAAAACATCTTTAGCCATTTCGCAATCACACGCTCGTTCATCTTTATCTCGCCCGCAATTAAAATGGGAGAGGATTATCCACTGTGTGACTTTGCATGTGTAGTGTGTGTGTGTGAGATTTCGAAATAAATAAAATCCCATCTTATCCATTTTAGCTCTCCATCAGATAAAGAATCCACATTCATATGGATTTTATCGTACGTGAATCCTTAACTGTAACACAAAATTGCATATATTTTAAATGAGCTGATTGACGTGGTGCATCCCTCTTCAAACACTTTACTTGAGTAGCTGGTGAGCACGTTGATTTGCAACGGCTATCCTCGTCTCGTTAGATTCACCCTGAATTCGTTAGCGATCCAATTACAGAAATGCGCAGCATGGAGAGGACACAATTGTTAGTAAAAGCTCGCACCATCACCACAATTTTACGATTCCCAATGCAACTTTACACTCGCTACAAACGTCTCAAAGATCAAACTTTATGCGACGCAACTTTACGTGCTTTTGACGGCGGGTTTATAAGAGCGAGAGAGAGAGAGAGAGTCTCTCGTAAATGCAATAACTTGCATCTTAAGCTTTGTCCTCTTAACGCAAATTGAAGAGTTCTTGAGAATACAATTTCCTATTGCAATATTAATGCTCTTCATAGTGGTTCTTGTTGAAAGTTTCTCATCTCAGGAGAAATATCTAACACTGCTCTCACCTTTCGTCATACACATAAAGTTACATCGCAAATTTATTAGTTAAAGTCGCACTGAAGAGTTACAATTCTCCCAGAAATCACGAAACACCACTGAGAGGATTCACTGACCTTGCGGTTGATCCTATCAATCTGCCGGTTCTGGTTCTCGAGCTCGGATCCCATGTCCAGCGCCATGTTCCTCAAGTTGCCGATCATTGTGTTAACTTGTCCCATGTTCTCCTCCATTTCATCCTCTCGAGCATCATTTGTGATCCTGTCAAGAGAGGCAACATCAATATCACCAACACGACCTTTCACCACCAGCTAAGCATGTGTGAAAGTAGTTTAATCTCGGCTGAAAGCAGTCTCAGCCTGTGTGAGGATTAAAATAATTATGTCGGAGGGCGGTATTCCGCCCAACATGTTAGCTAGATTACATGCGATATAGAGAGTGTAATCCAGTGTACAGAGAGAGAGTCTTTTTTGTGGGCAGAGAGAAGAGTGGAGTAAAATGTTATGGTAACCGACCTTCCGATGTATCCTGCCTGCGGACCCAAACCGTTGCGGTCATCCATAACTCTCTGTGGCTGATTATTCACCACCTTTCCATCATCATTACCCTTCCAGGTTCCGTCGTCCTCCTTAAATGATGCACTCCTAGTTACATGGACGAGACAAGAGAACAAATATTTGGGATTAATTACACATTTATCCATGAGGTCATTGACAAAATATGTCTCTATGCTTGTCACATCGCCTCTTTCACATTTCTCGTGCTTTCGCTTCATTACGACAGAGAAAGAGAGAAAGAAAGAAGCATTCCATTTGCAATTGACGCTGCCCAGCAGTGAGCATTTATCATCATTCACCATAGCATAATTAGGCAACATTGAATGTCCACACACAAAACACGCTCAAGATGATAAATTAATTTCTGCTCAACCACTTGTATTTCTCATCTCTTACCTCCTGAGGTGCTTTGAGTGTGGGTGAAAAGAGGCAGAAAATTGAAGCTGAAGTATATAAGAAAGCAAAAGAGAGGAAACTTACATCAACTTCCCACCAATTCACTGATATCTCAACGTCAATTAGCTTTGCTCCTTCACACCCTGAGCCAGTCAATGCTAAAGACAACAGTATAACGACCCTTTGCAAACACCCCGAACGGCACACTGTGCGGCTGATAATTTAAAATGAAGCTCATTCGAGGACATTTTCCCCTGGTTTTCCTTCTAAGTGAGACGAGAAAGATGACAAGAAAGAAAAAGAGTCCAAGAGCTATTAATAAAGCTCAAGAGAGATGCCAATGTTCTTCACAGTGTCCCATCTATTTCACCCTTGAAATATATTGCATCTCCTTGAGATCCACAATATAAAACATGAAAACTCAGCAGCACAAATCAATATCATTCAAATTGATATATCAAATTTATTACAATTTCCCGGTGAAAAAGAATTTCATTTGATTTTATTTACCGATTTCTATTTCTGTGCAGATTTCTTTCTTTTTTCAGGATTTTACTCATACATATATCTCCATAGACAGGCACAGAAAATAGAGTGGGAAAATATATTGGATGGCTTTTACTTTTTTGGCTCTCGCAGTCGCGGTATTGTGGTTAAAATACAAATATACCATTGATATTGAAAATTTGTGAATAATAAAGGAGGCAGAGAAAGGATGGGCGTAACAACCGGTAAATTCCCCAGCTCCATTTTCATATGATATGTTTTCCTTCTTCATTTGAAGCCCCTTCAAAAAAAAACGCTTCTGAAGGTGTGAGAATTTGTGGATTCCCTCGAGAGAGATATTGACGGAAAATCGATACGCATTTCTCACTTTTCAATACTCATCCCATCCCCACATAAATCAACCTTCTGCCGAAGCTAAAAGGAGCTCACAAGACACCTGTAGTAAATATCATTTTACCTTTATCACCACTCACAAAGACAGAATGTGTGTTTAGAGAGACAGAATGTTTAGAGAGAAAAGATATAACATGTATAAAAGAGGCATAAAAGCTCTTGAAAATAGTCAAACAACAAATAGATTCTTTTAGATATTAAAGCTACATACAAGAGGAATTAGCTGTGGAACATCTACCATTTCAATCTCTTACACTGAGATGACTATTGTGGCTAGTATTAGGATATTTTGGTACACAACACAGAGTTCTTTCATCTTGACAGGTTTTTTCTGGCATGAATCACTGGTGAATCAACTTACTTATTGCATGGAAGTACACACAATCCACAGCATTTTTCCATTCCACTCAAGTTCTTCTCAGCCTCTCGCATGTCGGCGTTAATTTGATCCATTCCCTCCTCAATTCTGTCCAATTGCTCTGCAAAAATTCACCCAAAATCCACATTAGAACGTGCAATTTTAATCAGCAATCAATTTGATTATGGTGTGAATGTTTAATATTAATTAAACTAAGGTTAGTCAAATGAATAAAAGAAAAACAATAGTCATTAAAAGATACTCCTTCCTCTCCAACAATATTCAATGTTAAATGAAACCATTCACGTGCATTGCAAATTAAAATCAACCAACAGAAATACTCTCCTGAGGATTAAAAAACGGTGGCCCAATGAAGTTGCATTCTCTATTATTGCCTTCTCTTCCCGGAAATTAATTAAGAAAATACACTAAACCAAATACTTCTCTTTTTATTGCAAATGGTAGAATAGACCCAAACGGCAAAGGAAAAAGGGTAATGCAAGCAAATAACTATATAATAATAAATATAGGATGAAGATCAAACTAATGAGACTAATTAATGTTAAGAATAACTCTCAATTATACTCTCATAATACTTTCTCTCTCACTGTTTTCATCATTTTGGCTAAAAGATTACAAATACTCACTTGTCTACATTATTGTGGTGTAAGTAAGATAGTATTTTAGCAAATAGTATCTTTTTATCGAGTTGTTATGTGGTTTGCATGGTGGTTTTAGTCTTGTTAGTAAATCTGTTTGTGGCTGGATATAATTATGTGAATCATTTTCTGGACATTCTGCAAATACGACCCCATTTGAATATTTTAGCATGACATGTGAACCTTTTCTCCCTCCGCCCGCCCACCATTCATATTTTCCCCCAAATTGTTTCATACATTTCAATTTTCCAGCCTGTCTCATTATCTGTAAAACAGCTGGAAAATTATTATTCGCAATATAAATGCATGCCTAATGTTTGACACTGAATAAATCATTTAGAGGAACAATTATCTCTCTGTTTATCTTTCTGTGCTTTTCCATATATTATTCTTGTTCTGTTGTCACACGTGTGTTTCATTATGGCTGGAGTTCTCTGGACTATACAATATGTGATATACTGTCGTAGAAGACAAGTGGCACATCTCAACATCTCACACTCAAATATAACCATCAATTGCGATTCGATTCTTTGGCATCTCCGGAGGCATTTTGACATCATAGCTCGACATTCCCTCGGGCATGCTCTAATCCAATTCACAATTAATGCTATTTCAATTGTATATATCTGTCTGTCTGTGGACGTTTGAGAATCATGTCTCTAAAGGCTGGAAGGATTTGCCTCATTTTATCATCTCATTCAAAAGGATATCATTTTCATGCCAGATAAAGATTTTTTTTAAGGATTTCTCTTGTCATCACTGATCATTGTTTTTCTTTGTTTATCACCTTGTGGTTTTCTTACCTCCTTGCTCGTCCAGCATGACGATGGTACGCATCCCAACCTCCGTACTCTAGACAAAGACATGACATTTCCTTTTAGCCACACTTCTCTTCAATCTCAATTGTCTATCGTGTGTTATTTATTATAAATTGTCATTGGCGAAAAATCATTAGACTTTCTCAATGGTCTTTCATCAAACCTAATTCCTAAGCACTCCCTAAAAGTATCCCTAACAAATCCTGCGAACATCCTACAATATTATTATGCTGTACAGAGAAGTATTCCACATAAAAACAACACCCAGTGCTTTCTTGTGTCCATAGAAATCACACACAAAGTGTCCAAAATCCACACCACTTTGTTAATTAAAGTCAATTGCATTGATAACAATATTACATTTTGCCATAGGATTAAATTATATTACTCTAGAGTCTTTCTTCTAGGGTTTTTCTTTTGTAAGAATATTAGTTTAATAACCACCAGGATTTTTGTTAACAATTAAATCCTTCAACTCTTATTTGTTCTCTTACCGCCTTGATGGCTCAACATTTGTAATGTTTTACCGCCAGCATCTTCGCTCTAGAAAATGACAACAACTTCTAGTATAAGTAGAGAAATAACATGTCAACGAAATAAATAAAATAATACCCAAAATGCAAGTATTCTCAGGTGCCGTTCTAACCTATCAAGAGACATACGTAGATCGTACGAGAGAAATATGAATAGAATACGTTCAACTGCAGAACGGCAACTGAGTGCTTCTCTTTCAACGATAATGGCAGAAAAAAGATATAATTTATGCATTAAGGAAAATGAAACTTGAGAAAAGGTTCTCCAAACTCCTGGTAAACTTTTTCGCAAATTTCCCTCTCTCGCTGCGTCATTTTCTTCATATAGCATATCATTTTTCGCTTATTAGCTTATAATCACAGTTTTGAATTTCTCTCATCAGCAAACATCCACACAATGCGCTCGCATAGCAAGAAAAAGGCGGGAAATATATAAATTTCTTCTCTCTCTCAAAATCACCGCATAAGAAAACGCATTCTTGAAAGGAAACAAAAAATTTTTTTCTTGATATACTCATTGCAGAAACACTACAATAACAACTGCAATCGGAATAATACTCGTGACAAAGTTCTCTTCGAAGAAAAACATGGAGAAAGAAACTGTGCATGTCAAAAAACAGGGAAGAACAGAGTGTAGTCTGAAAGAGTGCAATACAATACTACAACTTCTTTCAATATATCATTAAATATTATAAGAAAAATCTGCTCATGTGATTTTGGGGTGAATGCGTGGAGGAAACAAGGCAAAACGATATTGAACTGTTCTGGAAAAATGAAGATTTGAACTTGTTGATAAAATGTCACAAGCAAGAAAGCTTCTATTGTGGCCAAAAACAAAAACTGCGCGCTGAAAAGTTTCATTTATATCCTCTTCTCTAAACTGAGAGTTTCCAATATGTTTGTGGATGAGTTTCTCAAAAGAGATGGAATATATAAAACAAACTTGATTACAAATAAGCAGTTGCAATATGTATAATTATAGAATAACCTTATAGGTATTAAATCAATAAAAAAAATATTTCAATATTACGAAATAAATCACTAAACATAATTTTCATCATTCGTTTTTTTTTTCTTAATCTTTTGGACACAAAATTTTACGAAATAGATAATAATTTCAACTAAATACAATATCAATTGAAAAACAAATTCAAATCAAAGACACAATATTAAAATTTTACATCAAAACTGAATCTAATCGAAAACATGGGAAGTGAAATTTCTTTATTTTAATTAAAGAAAAACAACCGAATACCAATCATTTTCTTTATACTTCTCAACTGTAGTCTAAAATCAAAACACAGAAACCAAAACGGAAAAGAACAAAGCGGTAAAATATTGCTCATTTTTCAATGTTTGTTGTTGTCGGAAAGAAGAGAGTTGAGAAAGAAACTGTATCTTGATGAAATCAAAATAAAAGCAATATATTTGGGAGGAGTATTCAATATTTTCTTCTCGCTTAAAAGAAATGGAACGGTGTTTTGTGACTCACCTCCCTGATCGTCAAGGGCTACCAGGGTACGAATCCCGGCTTCCTTGCTCTGTGATGCGGCACAACAGTAATTAGTAAGAGTGTCATTTTGTTGTATAATTTCTTTTGGCATAAAAGGTATAAAGAAAAATTAAGAGTATTTTTTGCTCTTTTGGAAATTAATAAAGCTCTTTTACGATTTTTTTTTCTTAACTTAAAATGCACATTTTTTCTGAAAAACTTGACTTTTCATGAATTTATAGTACAGAGAAAATGAAAAATAATCTTGTGGTTATCTGGAAAAAGAATATATCTCTGAAAAGTGAAGGTATATTGTTGGTTTTCTTTCATCTGAAATAATCATTCAGTTTTCTTTTGCACCTAAAAGTATATCAATGGATAAGAATGAATTATCTTGTACTTCCCTATCATTCTTTTTACTCTCTATCGTCACTGAAAAAATTTTGATCAAAAATCTTCTCGATATAATTTTAGTTCATTTTGTATATTCCAATCTGAGGTCTTTTCTTGTGATCCTTGGTAAAAAAGAAACATGTAGTTTGCATTTAGTCAAATCTTTCTTTAACTTTTCCCTCATTTTACATCCGTTTTTCATTCACTCACTCATTGCAACTCAAATGGAACACAAACCAAAAAATCATCTGTGGAAACATTTTGGTTAAAACAATTCAACGGAAAATAAAATTAAGTGAAAGAAATATTGAAAAAGAAACAATAATCTGCTTCTGTGGACTGTTTCTGGTCTGATTCAATATCATGGCTGTATTTATATCTGAATGGCTCAACTCATCTCTATGTTGGTATTTCACTGTCAGTTTCAATCTCTTTTCGCATTTAACAAATCAACTCAGGAAAAATTGAGAATAAAAGTTTATGCAGTGGATCAGTGTGTTTTTCTTTGTAGCATTTTTTAATATATTTTCAAAGTCATTTTAACGGAGATTTATCATAAGTCTCGCTTGTCAACAGAGATTTTGCACACAATTTTCCACACTCTCTTCGTCATCTCCTTCACTCAATTACATTTACGTCCAAAACATCTACCGATTAATCCAATTTCTCTGCATCACCAGTAAAATGACTTTTCATTAAGAATAATTGTCTTTTTAATCACATATTGGAAAATAAAGATTTTGCAATTGCACGTCTGATTTATATTCACTGCAATAATGCCAAAGACATAAGTTTATAGACACTGCTACATTGCGCATTCAAAACAAATATACGTTCTGTACATTCGATTGATAGACATTGAAGAATAATATAAGAAGGAAAAATGTTGAAAAGAAAACTCGAGTGAGGAATCTCTTCCGAGACTTCCAAGGATGAATAAACAGAGGAAGGAGAAATAAAGAGGGAGAAACAGTGAACAAATAAAGATATCCGAATTGTCAAATAGCACAAAAGAACATTTAAGAGCAAACCACATAGATTTTGAGTATTTGCAGACACGAGATTTTCGGGGAAGATGAACAGCAAAGTCCTAATTACATGGCAAAACAGGAGGAAAAGTGGCAGGAAGAGGACATCAACTGCCGCACTTCTCCAAACCACTTTTGCCAAAGGAAAGTGTGTGTGCTCTCAAGATAGAAGTCACGTTTGAAACATTTTCTCTACAGTCTGTGCTCTATATATCATGACATATAGAATGAGAAGAAATTTCCTAAAATTGCTTGAAATTCCTTTCTGCTCTAGAGAAGAAAGGAAAGAGTGAATGCTTGAGGGAAAGAATTGTGCAGAAAAGTCATTATATTTCTTTTAGAGTGTGTGAATAGTTAGAAAAAGAAATTCTAGGTAGTCACAAAAAAGATCTCTCATTCATATTCAAGCATTTCACTGTCTTTTACGTCTTTTTATAACCAAAAAAAAACCATAACAGCTAAAAGTGCTTCGGCTCTCGTTATTGCCAATGGGCATACTAAAACATTATTATGTTCTCCCCGGAAGAAGAATTCAAGTGATTTTGAAAGCACGTGACACAATTTAACTCAATTGCGATGTCACTAAAGTCCCCTTTTCTTTTGGCTATTTTTTTCCATAAAGTTCTTCTTTTGTTGTTGTCTGTTCATATACAAAAACAAATTGCTCTGGATAAATCATCTAAAACATTTATACACTTATCATGCAAACACTTAATAGCATGGAATACGTTTTGCTGTATAACAATTCTTTGATATATCCATAGAAACTAAAGAAGAAATCCAAAATAAATCAACATGGATACAAAATTTACACAGAAAACTCACTTTCTCTCTTCATTTCTTGGGCCTCAATATCTTAAATCTAAAACTAGGATTCTCCACGCGATATTATCGATTTTATACTGTCTCTAGAATATCTAAGAACTATTGCTTCTGAGGTGTTTTTTTTTTTCCTATAGAAAACTATACTAGAGAATTCCTATAAATCTAAGTGAAATATCCAACAATATTTGCCTCATTGATTTTCACACTATAGTAAAGCATAAAAAACATGAACAACTGTTGACATTTCTATAGATTCTTCTCGACAAAAAGACCATTTTCTCTCCTAATTCTTCCACCATGAGGAAAGGATACTAGAAGATATACATTAGATGACATTTTAGAGATATTTTTGTGCTACACCTGCTTAAACACTGTCCACAGCAAGTAACTTGATAAAACCAAAAAAGAGATGAAAATAATTGGGAAAAGATAAGAAAAGGAATAATTTTGTTCACTTTTCAACCCAGGAAATTGATTTTTTTTTAGCGAAAATTCATCTTTATCACATTTTTTTTTTAATCAAATCGCAAAGTAAACACAATTTTTCATTTTTCGCCTATTTTGAAATGGGAAAAGAAGTTTTATTATCCAAATATATCCCGGTAATGTTGTATTTTAACCTCAAAGGGCATGAGGCATAATATCTGCGATAGCATTGAAGGAAAAAGAGATAAAAAGCATTTCTCACCTCCTCGCACAGCGCCAACATGCGACGTGTACTCTCCAGGGACTGGAAAACACGAAGAAAAGCCATAATTAGGATGTTGTTGCGTGCAAATTTTCTTCTCAACACATCAGCATTTTCACACAGCAATTCCTCTACCTCATCTGTACACTGTTGCGCCTTGAGTTGCAACTCTTGCAGTTCTGTTTTCGGCACCGGAGCACCATTTTCAGCTCCTGCTGCTGCTGCTGCTGGGGCTGCAGACGGCATTCTGGGCGAAAAAAATGGAGAAGAGAACAGAAATTAATAAATAAATTGCGCCCACACACAAAATCCCTTCTCAAAATCCACCATTCTCTGGCATTTATATGCGCGTAAACCTTCCACACCCAGTCGATGAATATTTAATGCCCAAAGCTCTTCAAACTGTAAACAGCATCAGTGTGGAAAATGGACAAAAAATTGCCCAGATTTCATCCCTCTAAAAAAACCTCCATCACAATATTCGTTTCTCATTTCATTCTTGCGCCTTTTCAGCACCATTGACTGTCGAATTGAGCTGAAGAGTGTAATTTCATGTTCATTTTGCCTATTAACATTTTCTATTCACCGCCAAAGGGATTTTCAATGAAAACTCTCCTCTGCAATAGAGCATATTGTGGTGACATGGCTCTACTGCGTCGACGCGAACTCTCGTCTCGCTTTTTTGTGCAACAACAAACTATATATGTGCTGTAAGCTTCAACTCAGAAGCTCACAGGTTAAAATTAATTGAGGGAAATGAATAAACAATACCTAAGCTTTAATGTCTCTAATTCAGTTTATGGGATGTTTTATTTTGAAAGGACGAATTCGAGTTTTTAGTATAGCAATTAACATAATTAAAGACAATTTAGCATTATACAGAATAGTTGATTTAAAGCTATCTCTACATTCGTTTATATATAAACAAACCTTGGACAAAACACTCTAAAAAGTAGTCAGTCAAGACGAGTTTTAGAACATATTTGCAACATTGTTACACCTCTAGAATTGCAATTGAGTTTTAACAGTTCAGAAAATGTTACACAAACTTTTATACACGTTGGAAAATTAACTGAACAATCAATGAGAAAGTTGCTCTGTACGATTGTTGATTTTCATCATTTGACAATGTCCAATAAAAACTTTGTATCACGAAAGTGGAAAATGTTGCCACACAAGATTTATCTCAAATCTCATTAAACGTACAAATGCGCACAATTCATCCCTCTCGACAGTGAGACAATGCATCACTCGCTGGAGCCTCAATGTGAAAAGTGTGGCTCTTCTCGCTTCCCCCAATCGATTTTCCACCCTTCATACAGTGTTTGTTGTTATGTATGGCCAAAAAGTAAATCCTCAGCAAATTTATGTACATAGAAATCTCTCATGAGGTGGGAAAGTGCTCGAGAGAAATTGTATAGAAAAACGATTTCTCGCCTTTATAAATATTTCATGGGGCGTTCGGAGGAAGGAAGAGTGGCAGAAGTTCTTTCTCCTGAAGAGAATTCACAGCTTGTTTTCAGACACTTTGTCATACATTAAATCACAATCTCCTTCAATTCTCGCCACCCAAGAGGCAGGCACTTTTCCTTAAGATGAACACATGAGACTTGCCTGAATAATGTATGAAATTAGACTTTTTTTATCAATTTAATGCAATCATACATCAATTCATCTCCAGACACGACAGAAAATATGATTTCAATTCAGTGTCGCTGTGCCCTGAATTCCAAATCATCGTACGGAAGAAATGATAAATTATTAAGTGATTAAAACATTCCCAATTATGAGCTCTTAAGAGATAATTGCGCCAGAACGGAGAGTTGTATCTCAAATAAATCTCCTTTTCCCAGATGATATTATCATTTAAGCAATCATCAGCTCAAATTTTGCCCTCATACTTTCGCCGAAGAACCCTTTCGCCCACCCTCAAAATACTCCGCAATGCCCAACTTCACTTTCCACCCTCTCGAGAGAAAAGTTTACACAAATCCCATCCGTGTGATGTTTTCACAACCCCATTAAATTCAACATCAGATAAATTTATCAGTTTCTCAGCAGCACATCCCATTTAATCGTGATATAAATTCTTTCCACAGAATTACATGCGATGAAATTGACGAGACTGATGTGCGGATTTTCTTCACACTTTGCAAGAAGACTCATCCACTGGAAGATTGTGCATTGCGCACATTTTACTGAATAAACTAATCATCATAGATTACGTGGAATACTAATTAGCATGAGAAAGAGGGACAAAGCAAAATGCATAAAATGAGAAATATGTATAATCATTTCCATCCAATAGAATGTTCTCAAAATTCATTTGCCTCAGAGCAAAAGCACAAAATTTTAATTAGCATATCAATTATCTCCAAACTACGCCTCCACCAAATCGATTAACATAAAATAATCATGAGTAGAAATACTCTCATTTGGAACACAGCTCGAAAACTTCCCCAAAATGATGAACTTTGAAATTTTAGTCAAATTCAGAAAAGAAGTAATTGAAGCAAATACACAATTTCCATTATGAAGAGCCACAGAGGAGATACAGAAAATGAAGAGGCGAATGAAGGAGAAGAGATCAATTTGCGAATGATGCTGTAATTGACGTGTCATCCTTATCTCAATCGAATAATACTCCAACAGCACAAATTGAATTGCGGTCGCAGGCACGATATTCCGCCAGAAGGTTCACAATGTGGGTGTTTTGCTGCTCTTGCCCTCAAAATCACTCCACACAATTTCAATTTGGCAGTGACATACAGAGAATTGAGCGGGAGAAGCTAATACAGTCTGAACTGTGGACTAAACTATTTGCATTCATGCAAATTTTACTGCTCAAAATCATGTGAATGTACTGAAATAGGTTCAATTTCTAGCAATGCCAAAATAATGTTTATATTGAAATACTTAAGATAGGAAAACTATCATATTGCAGGAACTCAACACAACTCTTATCCCACTTTGAACACTCCTTGAATCTACTTTTTGAAGAATTTCTATGTTCGTAACCGAATAATACGGCCCAAGAATGAGAAATTGCTTCAACTATATTCCTACTTCTGGCCAAATTCAGCCAAAACTTCACGACTCGGGTCTCGATTTTGGTGAATTTTCTCGAGAAGATGAAAAGCGGCTGGAAAACTCAATAGTTGTTACGTGATTCCCTGGGGGATTGACTATAGAAAACTCCTTAACTTCGGGTCGGAAATCGAGGGTTTTGCCACAGCAAAGGTTTAAGTTTCATGGCACATTGGCTGAAATTGTTGTAATTTCATTCTACATTTCTCATGTTATTCTTTTTTGGTATAAATATGAAGAGATACATGTAGAGGAGAGCAAATAATAGAAAAAAATGTGATTTCATGCCTACAAGTTTATCTAATATGATGAAACTCACTGATTTTGTGAAAATGTGTTTTGGATAAAGAAGGACGAAATATTCTTCTGAATTAATCATAATTTTATAGACAAATTTCCTGAATCCCTATTGAATATCAAAGTGGAATAAGTCATTACTAGTAGGGTAATGGAAAAAAAACATCACGTCATCAATTCATCATAAATGATTGGAAATTGAATGAATAATGATAACATAAATTTCCACCCTCAATATATGTATCATTAAGTCTCAAAATAGCTTTACGATCCTCAATATAATCTCCAGATTTAGGCCAGAGCATTCAATCTTGAGATGATTAGCATTGGCTTTGCGAGGAGGGTCAAAAAATTCTGTGGGAAAACCGTGGAAATTGACCCTGACTGGGCCAGCAGAAGAACAAACGACACTGGAAAACTGTTCAATGGCACCGCAAGAGCCACTTTGCATTTTCCCAAGAGCAGCAGAACGCTACAACGCCCTGCTTTCGTGCGGCCCCCCTTTTCCCGGCCCCAGAGACACACCGAGAAATCCATCGCCGCCCCGCAAGTAGATGCACCCCCTCAGCCACTCAATGGAAGTCTGTGCCCGAACGGCTGGCATTCCTTCGGCCCCCAGCGTCCTGATCTATGTGCTCCACACGAGCGCAATTGCCTCGGTCGTGGAAAAATCAATAGTGTCTAGAAATGGAGTCCGTTGAGTCTTCAGGAGTGTGCGCATTCCTCACGCCAGCCGCGAGATCCAACATTTTCCACCGCGTTTCAGGGTGGATTCCGCGGGCTCAGAGCCCCACCGGGAGCCTCTCGACCGCATTTTCAGGCACACAAGATAGCCCAGGAGGCGTGAATTGAGCACCACGAGGGATTTGGGGTTCGGAAGTGGCCTGACAATGAAAGTGGGTCTGGGAATTTGGCCTCCATTGTGTCCTCAGTGGAATTGAGGGCGTGTAACCATCTTCCGGACAGTGCAAAATCACGGAAATGGCCCACAAACTACATCGAAAGATGGTTTGTCAGACCATTTTCTCATCTCTCATGCCACGAATCACACAAAATTGATGCCGTGTCTATTGTCCAATTACTCAGCCTCTTTTTCTCAGTATTTTTGGGGTCTTTCCATGCAAAAAAATATCGCAATGGAATGACGCATTAGCGAGATTCTGTGTGTGTGTGGCGAGAAAGTCTTCCGTGTGAGGCGAACATCCCGGAAATCTCAATGGATGTTGGCAAGGAAGTTTTACCTGATGTTTGTTGGTTTCCTCAGAGAGTGTCGGACAACAAAATACACCAACAATTATGTGGTAAAAAGACAGAGAGACCAAGAAACACAACACAACACCAAGAATTCTTCCCTCAGACTGACGATTTTCGTGGAAAAAACACACACACCAAGCGCGGGGTGGCCCAACACGCTGTAGTGGGGATGCCACCGGACGCATGTGCACATGTTTCACCGACAAAACATCCACAAGGCCCCTCCGGAGCCCCACACTTCCCCAAAACCACTCACCTTTTGCACTGTTTTCTGCACTTCCGGACAACTAAGTGAAACTTCTTAGCACGATTTCTCCTACTGTCACGGCGATTCTCCTCAGAACTTAACGTGCACCGATTCGGTGGATACTGGAGCACTTTTTATCAGCAATTTTCACACTTTTCCGGCACGGAAACTGCACTCTTTAGAACTCTTTTTGCGTACTTGGGCCAACACTCAGCCGCAAATGAACTCCACTGACAGTTCTGACGTCATCAATAGAGTTGCGGCCACTCACCGCGAGAAGCGTGATGCTTTCCAGAAAATCAGTCGTGGGTGGTGAATTCTGGTCTGGAAGCAGAAATAAAAACAAGCGTGAGAAAAGTGATAATTTTACAAGAAGTAGAGGGAAAATGGGGGTTTTTCCGCACATATCTTGTCTCTTGATATCCCTGTTGTGTTTAGGTGAGTGAAAATCTAATAGATATTAAAGAGCGGTGTGAGAAAAAAGGAATGTTACTGGAGCCCTAACCTCAATGGGGATTTCGTGGCTTTTCAGGGACTTTCACAGCCGATGGACAAAGGATTAAAGATAAAATGTTCAGCAATATTGCGGGGACGTTTTGTTTTCGCCGCATGAATGCCACACATGTCACCGGATGCAGCTGTAAGCGCGTGAAGAGGACTAGGCTAAACAGGATGACTAATGAAGTCTTTGTCCATTCCAGCCACTTTCCGGGGCTCTCAGGGTGTGATTCACATCGTGAAGACGCAGGAGGACTTTGAATTCTTTTTCAACAATCCCGCATCACCACCATATGCACCTGTGATTCCGCCACATCTCTTCACAAAAGAGAACATCCTGAGGCTGAGAGATAACGCGTCTCACGTCATCTCCGGAATCGTGCTCACGGGCTCTGTGAAGAACCTCATGTCCTTCAGTCACGAGTCTCGGTGTCCAAATCAATTTGGCGGCCTTTCCAAAGACCAGACGTGCAGCGTGGACGATCCTGTGAACTCCTGGAACCCCTTCGGGACGGGAATGCTACAGGAATTCTTTCCATTTCCCATCTATCTGGTATCAAGTGACAAAGAAGTGGCCAAGATGACAGAGTGCTTTGAGAAGTTCAACAACTTTAACATGGAACAGCAAAATTTGAGATCCTTGTGTAGTATCGAGATCAATTCCTTCATGTCGTCCGCCGTGAACTCGGAGATTTGCATGAGACGCGCCACAATGCAATATAATCTCGGACCGACAGTTTTCTGCGATCCTCTGCAGGGTAGGAATGTCTTCGCCACGCTCTTCCCTCGGGAGATTGTGGAGCCTGAGCAGCGTCAAGTGGATCCGGAAGAGAAAATAATTGTACTCTCTGCCAGAATGGACACAGCTTCGCTGTTTGACAGTGAGGGAGCGGGCGCGATGGGGTCTCTCGTACCCTTCACAGTTCTCATGTCTACCGCTCAGGTTCTGGCCAAGTTACTGCGCCAGAAACGTGATGCCAGCTCTCCTAATGTCCTCTTCTTGCTCTTCAACGGTGAGGCATTTGATTACATTGGATCACAGCGTTTCATTTACGATCTTCAGGAGGGTAAATTCCCCTCAAAAGCATACTTGAGCAAACCTCTAGCACTGGACAACATCAAATTCTTGGTGGATCTTGGCGTGCTAGACACAGTGCGTCTCCTGAATCTCTTCCACGCCACAGATTTCCCGCGTGCGTCAGAATTTGGGCAGTTGATGACGAAGTACAGCTCGAAATTCGCCATGAATGTCTCAACGGTGAACAGGATGCAAGGCAATCTGCCGCCCACTTCGGCGCAATCTTTCCTTCGTGAAGACATCAACTTTCCCGCCGTAGTGCTCAACTCTCCACCCACAAATCGTTTCTACCACTCAATCTTCGACGATGACATCAATATCAACTACGTGTATGGAAACACTTCGAGGAACTTCTTGACTCTGGAGGACTTGAACGCACCGTCAGCAGACTTCACCAAGGATTCTATTCAGCTTGGCATAAGGAATATCTCTTCTATAATCGCTTTCAGCCTCTACGAGATGATCACTGGCGAGGAGTACAGGGAAAACCTCGGAGCGAGCGCTCTTTTCGTTGATGAGTTCCTCTATTGCTTCCTCATCTCATCCGAGTGTCCACTAATGGAGGCCATCCTGCCGGACGACGCTACTTTCCCGCCCTATTCACCGCCCAGATACATCAGTGTCCATCGCTATCCGACACAGCAATCCACGGTGATGGCGTACAACACCTTCGGCCTGATCGTGGGCCAGAAACTCGAAGGAGTGACGAAGGAGAACTGCTCCACGCCGCCCAGGATGTGGTACCCGGGCATTGAGAAGCAGGGCGAGTGCCATCTCACCACGCAGAACATCAGCATGGCCATGAGCCCGGCCTTCAAGATTCCGCAGTACAACTGGACGTCTGGACGCTACTCCACGTGGACGGAATCCTCCTGGAAGACCATCTCGGCGAGGATTTACCTGAGACCATCAACGCACCACGAAGCTCTGACCCTGGCTGTCGGTGTAGTAGTCCTTGTGCTGTCCTTCGTGGTAGTTTATCTCGTCAATACCAAATCCGACGTGCTGTTTGGCATCAGTCCGTCCTCTGAAGTGTGAGTAAATCTTTATGCTTTAATAAGGAATATTATACTAATCGAAGTCCTTTTATCATTCACTTTCAGGATCTCCATTCCTGCTCGCTGTTAGGTCATTTTTATATCTTCCTCTTCTCTGCTACCCATGAAAGACTGGTTTGCGGTATTTTATCTGCGTGGCTGACGCGCTGTATTCATTCCCATCAGAGAATTTTATCCCCTAACGTCCAGAAGACACGTCTCTAACCAAACACTAATCGATCAAAGAGAAGCTGGACGCTTGTCTGAGGCAGTGTGACAATATTTAAGTAAATATTTATTGCACATTGAAAGGAAATTTGTGTCGGGAATGGGGTTTAGTGGCGTCTGGGCAGCAATCCTTTGGCGCTGAGGTTGAGAACAGAGTTGGCAATCACGCTGGCGGCTGAGCGCAAGTATCCGCCACTGAGGAGCATCACAATCGGAATGTTTGCGCGGATGGCGCGTTTGAAGACTTCTTCGTCGCGTAAGATGACGCCCTCGGGCGAGACGGAGAGCGCACCCAGTGGATCTCCGTCCAGGATGTCCGTGCCGGCGTTGTAGATTATCACGTCGGGTGGAAACTCGGCAAGCGCGGCGTCGAGATTGGAGCGGAGTTTGTGGAGATACTCACGATCCTGTGTATAGGGATGGAGTTCAACCTTTCTCCTGATCGCCACCTTGGCTTCCTTGTCACGCGGATAAATGCTGGCGTTGTACATGTCCATGATGAATACTCTCTCATCATCCATGAAGTCTCTCTCGTGGCCATTTCCCTGGTGAGCGTCCAGATCCACAATCATGACGCGTCGCACGCCATGAGGTGAGCCCAGGAGGCGCTTTATGAGGAGACTGATGTCTGCATAAGCGCAGAATCCGCCGCCTCTGTTGCCACTGCAGTGATGAAAACCTCCGCCCAGATTGATTGCCCAGCCGTGGCGCAACGCCAAGTCGCCCGCCATGAGACTGCCCGCCGTCTGGAAGCGCATCGGCCGCAAGTATCCTCTCTCCACGCAGAATATGGGCAGCAACAGCAGAATTGGCACTTCGGTTATCTTGGCCACATTGACACTCCATCGCAAGCTGTTCAGGTATCGTTTCGTGTGCACCACTTTCAACTCCTGCCGCGAGATCTCCTTCCTGGGCCGATGAACAGACGATTCCCTGATGAAGTCCTCCTCACACAATCTCCGGAAGATCCCATCACCCTTCGCGGCAGCAGTATTTGTGCTGACAAGTCTCTCGATTCCACAGAATCTCACATTGTACTCCTTGCAGAACACTATGGGGAGCTTTTCCTCTCCAGAATCACTCACTTCATCGTCTGTTTCCTGACCTCTCATGCACATCTTGGCACGTGACACTCTGCAGATGTTGCCTGAACACAATCTACAGGGATTTTCCTTGCACTTGCTGCAGCATATGTGCAGGAAAACTTGTTGGCACACGTGAGATTATGACGTTCTTGGCAAATGAGATTTTCTCAATGTCACGTCGTAAACAAATCGATAAAAAACCACGCATTTCCAGTCTCATCCAAGCAAGCGCGCTTGGTGTGCGTCTCAGATGATTTCCAGACATTTTCCCGCCAAAAAATAACACATTTTTCAGTTTGACTTCGATTGAAGTGAAATAAACATTTACTGAAAATTGAAAATAAAATATTACATCACATTATTACAGAGTCAGACAGTGTAAATAGAGTTCACGATAAATTAGCTGAATGTTTTCCTCTTCCTCTCTTGCTTTTCCAGTAAAAACATTGGGAAAATTGTTGAAAAAATGAAGAGTAGAAATGAAAAACCATCTCTATTACTAATTAATTTGAGAATTTATCTCTCACGGGAATTACTTTGAGTCATGTTAAATTAACCACTAATGCGTCTTTTTGTTCTTATTACATTTTACAGCATATAATTTCGTATAGTTGTCATCTTTTCTTCCATCAATCCACACACTCGAAGTTTTGTTGGACCCAACACGCCTTGAAAGCCCATTGAAAGCATATTTTATCCTAATTTTTCCACTAGATTTTCTCTCTCTCTCTCACTCGTCAAGGGAACATCATTGGAGATTTGTCTTTGCTGCTTTTCACCGCCCCCATCAGATGAATTCTGGCCAAAAAGCGCGCTCGAAGATATCCTGATCGACATACATTTGCGATTTCCCAACGAAAAGGCAGTTAGAATAGGAAAATTTTTGAGTATTATCGATGGAACACATCTTTTGCAACAGCGAACATTCTCTAGAGAGAAATCACTGAATGTCTTCAGAATCTTCTGGCGACGCTTTCTCTGCCATTTGACTTCTTAAACAGCGACAGGGGCGGACAATTGTCAATGCCATTTCGCCTTCTGTGCAAATATATCGGCACGGAGATTCTGTGCGAAGCAGATTCCCAAAATCTGAAAGATATTAAACAATGTATTAGGTTTAATTACTTGCTATTGCCATTAAAACTAGCACAGAAGCCACTCAAATTCGTCAGCAACTCAAGAGAACAACAAAACTTGCAGACGCACATCAACAAAAAAAAAACGACAAGACTTACTTGGAAGAAGGCTAGGAAAATGGCACTCGATGCTATCAATATCAAATTCCTCTCGATCCACTCCTCACCGGCCTGGACGCAGCCCTTCTCATTGATTATCTTTGACACATCGAAATTCTAAATGCAATCAAACAACAACAACATAACACAAATCAAGAAAAACAATAAATGCTAGAGAACCAAACGAAAATCATGCAAAATGCCGAAAGCCAGAAAAAGCATCGCTACAATCTCTCTAACTAATTGATGCATTAATTCCCGGACCTGCATTATCATTACACTAACACAGACACCAGCAACCGGAAGCAGATTCCCTTCCAGCCAGTCCTCGCCAGCTCTCAGACATCCCCTCTCGTAAATGTGCCTCTCAGCGGGCTAATTAGAGCAACGTGAGCGTGAAATAGTCAACAGAGTGCATGAGAAAAGGTGGGATTAGTCAGTCTTTCAGCAGATATGTAAATGATCATCGATGGTCATTGAGAAATTATTAACAATCTGATGCTAATTCAATTCTCTTAGATGACTTTACAAGTGAAGAATAATTCTTATAGCTGCTTTTTAGCTAATACTTTATGATCTTAGTCAAGCCTATGCGGAAGCGCCGCCTTTTCCCAGAGATTTCATCAAGAAATGCCTTAGAATTAAGAAATATTCAATATCTTTCGAAGGATTTTCGAAATTCCATTCAAGACATAATTTGAGCATCAAACACACCAGAATTCTCTCTAAACTTTTTCATAGAAAGCGTTTTCCCACAGAATATACTGTATTGACTAAAACTGCAGCTAAAGAGCGGTGAAATCCCTCAATGACCTGCCTTTCGAAGCAATTTAGAATGCAGGGAAAAAGGACACCAAAAGAGACTCGTTAAACTTTCCACTTTTCCACCTCTCTTCCTCTCTCTTTCTCCCCACGTTTTATCATGTGATAATTGAGCAATAAACGTCTCTTGTGGCATCCTCGGGCGCCGCTCGGAAAAACCTCTCCCGGTTAATTGAATGGCAGCCGCGCCGAGGCGCTGAATAATTAACGCTCCACTTACATATCCCTCCTTCCTCACGTCGTAGCCGCACTGCTTGTTCTTGATGAGCTCGTGCGGTCGCCGTTTGCAGCACGAAAAGGGCACGCCGCAAGCCTCGCGACTGCCCACGGCGTGCGAAGAGCAATTGAAGTAGTTGTTGCTGTCCCAGTCCTTGGGGCCCTCGATGCCGCAGCACTGCAGCCAGTCTTCCTGGATCCAGTCGATCAGATTCTGCTGGTCCGGGTCCTCGCGATAGTGTGTGATGAAGGCGCGCAGGCCCTCCGTGGCCTGCTCCTTGATCCAGCCTTTGTCCTTGAGGATGAAGCCCAGGATGCCCACGCTCATCTCCATCAGCAGCAGAATGGTGAGAAAGATGGCGTACGCCGCCAGCAGACACGTGTTCTCGCGCAGCGCGCCTACGCAGCCCGTGAAGCCGATCACGAACGTGATCGCGCCGATGCAGATGAGAATGAAGGCCGGATCGAGGGCGATGTTGGCGAACTTTGACACATTGTTGAAGATGTCCTTCTCCGTCCACGCCCACACGCCCACCGCCAGGATGCACAGGCCCAGAATCTGTAGAGGAAGCGCTCGTGATCAGTTCCAATTGCCGATGCCACCCACTCTCGTTGAGAGTGCAAATTACTATTCATGAGGAGACAATGAGTGGGAGGGAAGAGCGTGTGTTTGCATTGAGTCACACTCGCCAGCGACAAATTGTTGACGCTTGAAGGAGTGTCCAGAGAAAGTTTACACGCGGAAATATAGTCGCAAAAACTACTCAAAAAATGTAGAAAATTGTAGAAAGTCTCACAAATTCACAAACAAATTTGCGATTTCACATTAAATTCTTCCAATTGATCATTCTAGCAATTTCCTGTGCTGCTCACGCGAGTGTTCATAGCAAAGAACCCAGGCAATAGAACGCAAAACTACTCAGCAGTGAATGGAATTAATTACCAATTTCCCTTCGCAAATCAAACAGAATTACCTTGAAGCTAAACTCACGACCATGAGAGCTGTTTTTCTTACTCTATTGACAGTTTCTCCGCCACTCAACTCCACGGAATCTTATCTTTTAATCACTAAAGAATTAAATTTATTTTTTTTTCTCACAGAATAAATTTGTAAAAAATTGATTTTTTTAATTTTCCGATCATTCTTTTTTTAGACACTTTTGACGCCAGTTTATCAAGCTAAAAAATGATTTTTAGAAAAAATTTATATTTTTTTGTAAGATATCTACAAAAATATACAAGTTTAAGGCTTTTTGGCTAAATACATATTGTTTTCCATATTTCTTTATCAGTAGAATTGAAAACACCTGCCAAAAAATCTGCACAAAGCATTGTCTTTGTCATCTTTGTGGTGTAAACAATGCCAATGTCCTCGTCGCAAATCATCTCTTTTGAGGTCGACAAACTATTCAAGCGATTATTTCGCAATTCAACCCAAGAACGCCTCTGAAGAAAGGCGGAAAGACACAATTTCTTCGCAAGAGCAGCCAAAATTGGCGATAAAAGCAGGAGAATGTTTGGATCCCATCTTTCGAGGTCACAAACTCACCCAGAAGCAAACGTTGCAGCTGAAGATGACGTACTTGAGGCAGCAGCTCACCTCGCTCGTGTCCCTCCGATACTTCCTCACGCTATTTCCAGGCATTTTCCTCACGCTTGGCTTCAGGATGGATTTTTCCAGTTGCTAAATGTGTCCAAACATCTGTTTTGTTATTGTCCTCAATCTCGCTTGACTGCGTCCTAATTTTTCACGCTCTTCCACCGCACTCCACGGGGACTTTTCTGCACAATCTGCACACACAATGCTTCCACGGGGCGCCAAATTACGTCTCTGTGGTGGTAAAGTGCATTTTCCGCACGATGCTTCACGGGAAATTTGATGAGAGTTTCCGTGCAGAAAAAGACACTCAATTCCCCACAAATATTTTTCTCCACTGACAATCAGCTGACAGTAGGATTGGGGTTGCCAGCGCGCTATTGCGAAGAGTGGTGAGTTATTCAAAAGAGCAGCGAGGTCCGCGAAAAATTAGATTTCTTCTAATCATTTTGCAATATTTCTCAACAGTTATGCATAATTAGTAGATAGATCATCGATACGCAGATAGATTTTCACTCTTTTTCTGGCGAATCTGTAAAATTGCTTTTCCCTCTGAAAATATCCGCCACCTTTCTTGCGATAGAGGAAGTAAATTCAAATATGGAATCACCGCGTCCAGTCTCAAAATTTCGCAAAAACACCTTATAATTTGCAAAAAATTATAATTGTACCCCATTTCCGTGGCAATTAAACTCATATGATCATTTGTCCGGCAAAATAACACCTTACACTATAAGCGGAAACATATTCCACGGCTAAAAAGCAGCTCATTAGAAGCGTCTTATGGCAAATTTTGCCAACATTTCGCACAATTCGCTAAGCAATAAAAGTGTGCAAAAAGGCAAAAAATGATATATGAAGCTATTTGCCACGGCGAATAATGATGTTTTCGAAATCACAGCCTAAAAGACACCGAAATTACAAGAGAGCGGCTTCTGAGAATGATTCTTATTTGATGATATCGAGCTCAAGTCTCTCTTAACGACTGTATCAGATTATTTTGGCAGAGCCGCAAACAACCGCAAAAAATCACTGATGTTCGATTGTTCCCGGGCTCCAGAAGCCGGGCAAGAGTGTAAATCCAGTAGCTAAACTCCTCGAAGGCCAAGAAGAGGCGAGAAAAGAAACACGCATTCACAATAGATTTTGATGTTGTCTTGCAAGACGCTCTCAACTGATTTGATAACCCCGCGAGTGTGGAGACACAGCGATAAATCTGCTAATTAATTATTCAATTAATAATATTGACCATGTTTTGACGATATCGAGGAACTTTTCTCGTCAATTAAATGATCCCATTCGCAAGCTCAATCGCTTGTTTGTTTTAATGGCAGAGAAAAGAGTTTATAATAAAGGCAATTTCAATTAAGTGAGATTTCCATTGGCAACAAAGAGTCCGTAATTAATTTTATGGCGCGATCGCGGGCCTGAGATTTCGACTGGGGAAAAAATAGCCATTAATGCAATTTTTGGACAGTCTTTCGTGGCTCCTCAGCGTCTGCTAAAAGGGCCTGAGCGAGCATCTCTCGTGGCATTTTTGCTCCTTTTGTGGGCGAAGGCACACGCGGAGAAGAAAAGCCGAAGAAGTTTCAACGGTCATCACAGCGTCTCGGCAAGTGGAATTCAGTTGCAACAATCTCCATCTCTGTGCATAGCAAATAGTTTATTTTGTTAATCAGAGAAATCTGATCTAATCAAAGTCAATCAGAAGTCTCTGACTACACCACTGCTATACAAAACGTTAATTAATGAGGTGGATTCTGACTAAAAATAAAACTTTTATAGAACCAGATTGTTATTTGCATCTTTTTGGCCTCTGATTTGGCGTTGTAATATGTCGCGATTTTCCAACCCAAAATTCCTTTTTTGCGAAATTTTTCGTGAAACATTGTAAAATTTGCATGCACCTCATCTCCATTTAGCGGCAATAATCGTAAATTTGGCGTGAATAATAATTTCTACTCTTGGAGTTGCTCATAAATAAGATACTACGGGAATTCTTGGACGTTCCTCAAGACATCGAAGCCACAATAAATGTGACACCTCGCCTGTCCTCCTCCTCCTCGCCCGCAGACTCTTTTTTTGACCAGTCTCTCTTCTGCTCATCTGCGAAGGAGAATTGCGAATTTATTGATAAGTTGTCAGGAGGGAATCACTCGAGTCGCAAATCACTTAGTCGGAGGCAATGATTGATGGTGCTCTGACATGGGAGGGAAGTTAAATATTCTGCATAATTCAAATTGATTGTGATTTGTGTGCTAATGGAGAATTTCTTCTGTGCATGAATTCCAACCATGAGTTGGAGAGTGCAAATCCGTTGAAAATCGCTGATTGCTCATCTGGGCGAGTGTTGATCATCTTTTTGTCCCTCACATCACAGTCGAGCCAATTATCGCGCACAAACTCTTTTATTCAGCGTACGTTGAAAAGGTCTGAGTAAAAGGAAAAATTGTCAGAATGACGAGGGGAGCTTTTCAAAAAATTATTCCAACAACCTGTTCCCCGTGTAAATTACCGTGTTCTTTTCCTCGCCCATTCTTTCTCGCACGCTAATTGAGAGAAAGAAGTTGGGCGAGGAATCAAATCCAATGGACAAGAAGGGGAAGAGAGCGTGGCATTAGCATAAAAGTGCGCTGTGCAGTTGGGAATAATTTTCAATCATTGTCCATTTATATGCTGCTCCACATTCCGATAAATTTATGCATGGAAATATGCTCGAGTGGCTTTGGAATAAGAATTGAAAGAAGGGCGCAGAAATCACCATCATTATCTCACTCTTGTGATCTTCAACTTGCATTTTGTGCTAATGTCCATTTTTAAACAATTCCACCAGATGGTAAATCTATTCTGCACGACAGATTATTCTGTCTGGGGTAATTTTACAGCCTAGTTGTGCCTGTATGCATTACAGAGTGCATACTTGTCATCGCATTTGAATAGCGTGCGCTTTCGTTCTGCCGAATGGATGCTTTACGGTAGTTATTTGTTTAACAGAGGAAATAAAGGAGTTTTCGCGGATTTTTGGATTTTCTTTGGTTAGTTTCTTAGATGTATGAAGAGGTATTAGTTCTGAAACTATTGCTGTTTTGCCTGATTCATAAAACTTGTTCAGAAAGGAACTTTTTTTTCTTACCAATCACAGGAATTGTTTCTCGTGAGATTCGTCAGTCGTTGTGGCATTTTGGGAACGATCCCAGAAATTCGCCCACGCCCTGAAAAAGGGTCTCATGGAAAGTGTTCTCCTGAATGCCATTATTCATCAGTGTCACATTTTTTGTTCGATTGTTGCCTCCTTTTCACGATTTGTACTTTCAGAGATAAACTGGCAAAGCGTGGTGTGGCGGAGCGGAATAATCTCCCGCAGAGTGCAATCAGTGGAGGATCTGTTGCCAACAGTAGCAGAGAATCATTGTGTTGCGATGATACCATAAAGTGGTCCGCAGGGCATCTCCTAATGCACCACCCTGTCAGTGCGGAGTGGATTTCTGGGGCCCACAGTCAAGTGCAATTAATTTGATGTCACTGAGAACAAGGCTGTGCGCAGCAATTTCATAGGCGAGCGCATTGTACCCGGAGATGGCACAATAAATGGGTCTGTTTTTATCACTGCAAACGCAACGCCTCAACACCCAATGAACCATGGCAGCCGTTGGGTTATTAATGCGACTAATTAACATGAAAAAGTGCAGAGCATTAATGTAAACATTCGCGCTGATACTCCGCATGTTTGGCCAAAAGATTTTTCGGTCTGTGTGGATTCTGTGAGCACAAGACCAAAGGCGAAAATACGCGAACACGGAGCAAGATATTATTTTTAGATACACGCCCGTCAACGGCATAAATCTCGCGCCAGTTTCTGCCATTGTTGGGGATTTGTGTAATGTATTTATTTATCGATTCAATGGCCCATCATCGGTGAGCGTCATAATCTCTTAACACTGCCCGCGCGACAATCTGCGCCATAATCCAAGATGCAGAAGCGTGGCGAGACGACTTGTGGCATCGCGAGAGATGAGGAGAAAAAAAACAGCCCAAAAGATCAAACAAAGCCAATTTGCATAACAACAATTATTTGTGGCTTAAAGTGGAGAAAAGTCCAGGGGATTTGCTCTCTGCTGGCCTTGATCGTATGACTTTTCGCGGACTCGAGGTGCAAATTGCAGTTGGTAGAATCGCGCTAAAAAGTGAAGAAAAAGCGCTGGTTGTAAAATTTGTATAGTCGCTAAAGTTATCGCAAGAGATACCCTCGGAAATTTGAGGGGTCACCAAATGCAGAATTTGTACAAATTTTATGTGGAACATGATCGTGTGTGAGATCATTGGACGACGCTATCGCATGAGAACGTTCACAAAGTGGATTCTACATGATAAAGCGAGAGTGTTGTGTCTGGAAGAAAGTGAATTTCTTTGCTTCTTGATGACAAATTTCTGTACGAGAGAATTAATCAATTTGCACTCGAATCCACAGAAATATGCCGTAGAATCTTTTATTCTTATAAAGTAATCTTAAGAAATATCGTCAGTGGAAAAATAACAATAACTTCTTAATTCTTTCTTCTTCTTTCTGAAAGATACAAAAAAAAGTTGACTAAAAGAGTAATTGGTCCTTTCATCCAAAAAGGGTTAATTATATTTCCAACGCATCTTCGTGATTATAATACTGGTCTTTAGGCACCTAATATCCTTTGCATAAAGGAAAGTGCAGCAAAGCACGCATGACTCGTGGTTTTTTCAGCCGAAGCGAGATGACAGAAAAATGACTTAAGTGTGCAATTTGCAGAGATTTTGTCTCTCGAGCTGCAACCTTTCAGCTTGGCGTCCTGAAAGACACTCCTCGGCAAGATTGCAATGGTGAGTCGGAAAATTGGTGGCTTAGGGCGTAATACCAGTGCTTACGGATATCGCGTATTACATGCAGCCAGCAGCAATGCTGAAGCAGAAAATATTAACAATGAGTGGCAAAGAATGAGGTGGAGAAGATAATGTGGCTGAGCAAAAAGACTCTGCCTCTTTCCATCCACACTCTTCGGGGCTTTTGTCCGGAGATGTGCGGAGAAAGAGTGTCTCGAGAGGCACAAGAAGACCAGTAGCCAAGTCAAATTGGCTCAACCTTCCTCAAAAGTGCTCTTCGCCAAGGCAGCGCGTCTTCGGCGGCCGCCTAATGAAGAATTGAGGGGTGATAAGATAAAAGTTTTGAGATTAGCAACCGAAAGCCACACAAGAGAGTTGGCGGAGAAATCTCGAATCTACACACGCTGACCGCCTTCAACTCTGACCATATCGGATACTGTCTGCCATACAAAATTAAATTAAATAAATCCAAAAGGAAGATTTCGATTGTAACTCTCTCATTTATGGGCGC